GATTGGGAGATCCCAGATGCAAAAAAAGTGCAATGTTGCAAGGAGTTTCGTGATATCTGGTATTGCGTGGGTCCTCCTTGTGCCTGGCTCCAAATCCATTCGGAGTTCCCCCAACAGCTCCAAAATGGCAATGCTGGATAAACGATATGTTTTGATGATCGTTTCCTCGTTCATTCCAAAAATATTCACACGGAGTGAAAAAATGCGTTCTCTGCGTCTCCTTGCTTCATTTTGATGTCTCCTTCTTGCGACAATAACCGCTGCCATGTGTGCGCAATTACGCATACAGACCATTTGCACCTTCTTTTGAAACGTGTTAAATATAGAGTCAGATACCGTTAGCAAAATTGCTTTCAGGTTTGATAAATCACTTTGCGAGTGCTAAATTAATATATTTACATGTTATCCTCCCACAAGACGCACTTTTGCGTGTAAACGCCCTATATTGAATATTCATAGCAGAAAAAGTACTAAATGGATAAGAGACGCTATTTAGCACGTTTTAAAGACCAAATCCTTTTAGCACGCTGTTGATAGATCAGTTTGTACATTTTTTTGCGTGCGCAGTGAAATAGCTCACGTTTTAATACACGCAAACCTTTGATAAATCCGGCCCTCTGTGTATACAAGATGACAATAAAGTTTGTCTAAGTCTAAGCAGTTTTATTTAAAACACATGCTCCCCTTTTTAACGTGATTCAGGATCACCAGCCCCCAGTATGTCACACCCACGATGCATTTCAATTCTCTAGCCTCTCTCCTGCTTGTGGATTTGTTTCTGTGCGCTCATGTCAGCTTTTGTCACTTAGATGAAGGTAACCACTGGAGAAACCTAGTGTGATTGGCTACATTTCTGCCTGTTGAGACAGTGCTGTTTTTCTTTTAAGGCTAAAAGCTGTTCTTTTGAAAATTAAACATTGGTTTAGGAAAGTCATTGTTAAAAAATTAGTTGAATACATACATGAATGTGTTCTGACAGCAGTGGAAATATGCTTTAAATCAGAGGTCACGGATTAGCGGATCGCAGTCCAGATCCAGACCCAACTGCTGGCTAATCCAGACCCAACCTGATTTAAAACAATTATAAATGACCGCATGCTGTCCGACGACAGTGTCTAACTTCACTTGCGCCACTTCTCCTGTTAATATGGTAAAGCCCTATGTGAATCAGAAAATTGTCTATATACCAAACTGAACGACTTTAGATTTTAAAATGTAAAAATATTCTATTTTTTTTAATATATATATATTTATTTCATTTAAAAATTCAATGTATAACATGGATACATAAAAACGTAATTTTATTTCAGTGTTTAAATAAACAGATTATAATCAGAAATGTCTCCAGACCTTTACTGGTTGATGATTTTCTGATTTTTGCTGATTTTTAATTGGTTATCCCGGCTTTAAATGATGATTAATGTTAAATTTGGAACTTCATATGAGCTAAGCTAATGTTAGATTCAATGTTCATATTGAGAAAAGTGAAGCTTGAATGAACCCTTGCTTAAAACACAAATACTACATTTACACTCGGTTTTTTATCTAGTTTTAAGCATGTATACTTTCATGTTCAGCAATGATTTACAGTCCTGCTCACCATTATTGGCACCCATGAAGTTTAATTACATATTATTGAAAATTGACTGAAGGAAATTTATTAAGTGAAACATTTACTACAGATAGTTTGTGTTTCATACAAAACAACAAAATATAAAGAATATTTGAAAAGATAAAGATTATAAAGAAAACATAGAAAAATAATTTTACTATGTCAACAGTATTGCCACCGTTTGCTGCAAATTAGTATAGAAACCCAATGCCATCTCCCAAGACCTGGGCATTCCTGTTTAAACGTTTCATAATGTTATTGAGAAGTTTTCCATACATGGAACTGTCAAAAACCTCCCTGGACGTGGGGAGATCCTTGACAGAGGTCTTCAAAGACTGGTACGAATGGTGAAAAAAACACCAGTTCAAACATGTAAAGCCCTGAAGACCAACCTGGAGCAGTCAGGTGTCATCAAATACAATATGCTGGACGTTAAACAAAGCAGGGCTTTATAGGAAGAGGCCAAGAAAGATCGCATTGCTGAAAAAAAGAAAAATACGATGGATCTTCTTCAAAAAGATACTGGACAAACCTCAAGCCTTCTGTGATTAGTTTAATGGACAGATTAACCAAAATTGGAAGACGGCACAATGAACACTTGAGGGTAAAGAAAACCCTACCAACAATCAGGCATGGTGGAAGATGTATAATGCAGTGGGTCTGCTTTGTTGCATCTGGAAGCATCATGAAATCAGAAGATTATCAAGTAATTCTCATGTGTTGCCCAGTGTGTGGAAAGTTGGTTTGAGGCGAAATCATGGGTCCTCCAGCAAGATAAAGACACAAAGCGAGAAGGAATGATTGGGAGAGGAAAAATAGACTGCTTTAAAAAGGCCAGCAATGAGTCCAGCTCTCAATTGACTTGAAAATATTTGGGGGAAGTGAAGTCTGCCATTAGAGAAAGGAACCAAGCAAATGTCCAAGAGCTTGAGCATATGGCAACAGAAGTGTGGGAGGAAATACATCTGGAGTAGTTCAAGAACTTTATAGAAAGAAAATAAGGGGAGTGGCGGCTTAGTGGTTTAGGGCATTGGGCCTGGAATCCAGAGGTTCTGAGTTCAAGCCCCACTTCCACAGACTGCCACTCTGGGTCTCTGACTAGACCCTTAAGGCTGGCTTATGCTTAGAAACCAGGTCATCTGCATGTGTGTTGCAGATGTGCCCCCACTGCTTCCGCAAACACTCTGCTGCACCTCTCCAAAATAGTAGGTGACAGCAGACAGGAGGCCTCTGATTGGTCAATTCTACATCTGCTCTACTCTATGCATATTTCCTGTTTGGTACCTTAGCGGCTTGTTTTTTTTCTATGACCGCCATTGTGGAAAACGTCTCATGAAGTTGGACCAGCTAGAGGAGTTTGCCCTCATGTCCCTCCATTGTCACACAAATTTGCCCCCACTTCCTCATCGCCTCGGCCGTATCTAGACCCACAGCTAGTTGGTGATAGTCCCTCTTGCATTGTTGCGTGGAATAACATAGCACAGTCTACGCTTCAATATTGGGCATAAATCAAAAATATCTGTGACAAGCTGCTGCGGGAGTATAACCAGCCTTAACCTCTACACGGTTCCGCACAATGGCAGCCCACTGCTCCCCAAGAGGATGGGTTAAATGCAGTTGAGTTAATTTTGTTGCTTTTAGGGTTGTCAAAAGTATCGATACTCAAAAAAATAATCAATACTGAAACGTTGTATCCGGATACAATACTCATTTTCAAAAGTATCGATACAGTGCCACCACCAGTGGCACCATAACAGTCATTCATCTTAAGTGCAGAATAGTGGAAAATGCACTTTCAGAACACTGTGTGATTAAATAATTCTGTGCACTTTTCAGTTTCAGTGTTTTTTTTTGTAAGAGGTGCAGCTGCTGAGAATTATTTTTGTTTCTTAACCGGTTTGGCTAGTGTCATTGCTATGTGTGCAAAGCAAAGCCAAGGAAGGAACACTTAATTTTAATTTTATAGGTTTTTTATCAAGCTTGCTTAATACTGTGGACAGCAAACAACCTTAAAATATTGTTCTTATTATTTATTGTATTTATTTATTGTATTTTAATTATTAATCAAAATATTTCTGTTGAAATTTTGAGTTTTTATTCTTGTGGTATCGAAATGGTATCGAGTATCGAATATTTTCCTTAGTATTGGTATCGAGTTGAAAAGTTTAGTATCGTGACAACCCTAGTTGCTTTACACTCTGACAGTGTAATGACAATAAAGTTAAATTCTATTCTAAAATAAAAACATTTGGAGGCTGTCATCGCTGCTAAAGGGTGTTCATCGCCTGTGCGATAATATTGACACCCCTGTTTCTGTATTTACCCCTGTTTCTGTATTTTTCCCTTTGGAATTACAATGTCTGTGCTGAAATAACAGTTATCTTTGTTAAATTACTTTGGACCCACAACTAAATTTCCATTTTCCATTTATTTCCGAGGATATTCGTCCAGTTGTGTAAAACATAAACATGCCAATAATGGTGAGCAGGACTGTGTATAAAATGTTCAGTCAATGACTGCTATTAACCAGAAAATGCTTTTGCTGCTGTTTGCGACTAACCTGACGACAGCCAGATGCATCTGGCTGTCGTCAGGTTAGTTTGTGACAGCCAGGAAGAAAACAGCACAATCCCAATAAGCAGGATTTCCAGTAAAGAACCAACTACAGGCTAATCTCAGTTCTCCAGTGATTACCACCCTTAAAGTCACAAAAGTTGACACGATCGCACAGAAACATATCCACATAGGAGTAGGAGAGAAGCTACGGATGCCTGGAAAGCATGCCATGAGCACAGAGAAGCAGCATGCCCTCATTTGTGTTATATGACATTCTTGTGGTACTAAATCTGCATGCAAAAATGCCCAAAATGTGCAAAAGGAGTATTTTATATGTGTATGAATTAAATAAAACTTATTTTATGAGTATGTATTGTAACTATGGACTTTTGGCAGAATTCTGACTTCATAGATAAACATACCAGTTGGTAACCAAAACAAGGGCAATTCAAATTCCTGAAGTGTCTGTCTAATACAAACCCTGGTAAAACATTTAATAGTGGATGAACCAAATCTAAAATCTAAGTTCAACTCCTGTTTTGCAATGTAATCTATCCCTCATTAAGAAAAGAGCAAAAATCTGATAGAAGCACTCATAAGACCCTTAAATGACTCCAAATTATTTAAATTTGCTACCAAACCATACTAAAAGTCTTTTTTATCACTAAGCAGCTTACTTCCAATATATATAAATATGCAAAAATGTATCTAAAGTCTGAAGGATTCTAGGGTGTCAGATTCTTGGCTATTAATTAAATATTTCTTTGTGGACCGATCCAGCAGAATACTTGAACCTTCCCCGAAAATGCTGTAAAGCAAAAAAGGTTCTTACTTTTATTGTGGACAAAGTATTTATCTTCAGGCCCATCTTTAGACTTCTTAAAGTACAGTTTCCCACTTTCAACATCCACCTTCAGAACCATCTTTGTTGAAATACCCAGAGACTCTTGCTTCACCTGCCAGACAAGAAAGAATCTGATCAAATACCAACCACAGACCTGCAGACATTTTGTTACATTTCATTAGGTTTTACAGCCAAAGAGGCGCACCTCGAACGAAACAATTGGTATGAGAGACTTCCGGTGGCCTCCGTCATAGCCAACCGCCTCAAAAACTGAACTTTTAGCCTGAAAAAGAAAGCAGAAGTGCTCTTTCCTCAGTAGCAGACGTCATTTGCTGGCATCTCAGGAAACGAGATGAACAGTGATTAGCACACATGTGGTGCTTTTTGTTTGGTTGGTTTTTTACCTTGTCCTCTATTGAGTACAGCAATTTTGTGAGCTGTTCAAGCCTATAGGACACAGATTGACCCGAATCTGCAAGAATCTGGAAGCACATGAAATAATGCAGAATAAGATATATATATTTATATTTTGAGGTGGGGAATGTTTCTAAGGGTTCAATGCTGCTACTTACTTGTTTAGGTCCAATCCCTGGGGAGAGCTGCTGATCCAACGCTCTGTGGAAGATCTCCAGAGCGGGCAGGATTCGAGAGATTTCACTGGCTCAGAGAAAGATCACATCAGGGTCAGATGAAAGCTACACTAACCAGTCCCAAAATAGAAACAAATCAGGAAAAAAAGCACCTGTTTAGATTTTTGCACACAGCCGTGATCAGTTTCTTGAGGCCGGGAAGGTTGGGGTTGCCGTTTTGCACTTGTTCAGCATCCAAGAAGATGGAGGTCCTGAAGTATTCTTGAACAGCCATTTGATGCTCGTCTGACAACCTGGAAAAATGCCACAAAAATCAACATGTGAATATTTTGAAAGGAACATCAGCTCCTAAAGTGAGCGTGAATTTTGTTGCATTATTGTTGCGAGCAATTAAAAATGTTTTATAAATAGAAATTTGAAACAAATGTATTCCAAAAATACATCTTTATGAAACCTTCTTATTAAAAAAGGTTTTGAGAGTAACTTTGTTGTTTTCCCAGATTTGTTTTTCTCAAGAAACTATGGAAGCCCGTTTCCGCCACTCTGTAAAAAAAAAAAAAAAAACTATCTCAATATAATGAGATAGTATCTCAATATAATGAGATAGTATCTCATTATAATGAGATAGTTTTTTTTTTTTTACCATTTTTTTAAGTTAAAATTGAGTATTTTTGGTCAATAGCTCCCAGGTCATGTGACCTATTGATGCAAAATCAGTGTGAAATTGTTCTACTAGTCTCTGTAGATGGGGCACACTCATTTGTTTTTCATTTTAACTCTTTTTTTATTTTTTAGCAATTTTTTAAGTTAAATTTGAGTATTTTTGGTCAATAGCTCCCAGATCATGTGACCTATTGACGCAAAATCACTTGGAAATTGTTCTACTAGTCTCTGTAGATGGGGCACACTCATTTGATTTTCATTTTAACTCTTTTTTTTTATTTTTTACCAATTTTTTTAGTTAAAATTTAGTATTTTTGGTCAATAGCTCCCAGGTCATGTGACCTATTGACCCAAAATCAGTGTGAAATTGTTCTACTAGTCTCTGTAGATGGGGCACGCTCATTTGTTTTGCATTTTAACTCTTTTTTTATTTTTTTACCAATTTTTTTAGTTAAAATTGAGTATTTTTGGTCAATAGCTCCCAGGTCATGTGACCTATTGACCCAAAATCAGTGTAAAATTGTTCTACTAGTCTCTGTAGATGGGGCACACTCATTTGTTTTTCATTTTAACTCTTTTTTTTATTTTTTACCAATTTTTTTAGTTAAAATTGAGTATTGTTGGTCAATAGCTCCCAGGTCATGTGACCTATTGACCCAAAATCAGCGTGAAATTGTTCTACTAGTCTCTGTAGATGGGTCACACTCATTTGTTTTGCATTTTAACTCTTTTTTTATTTTTTTACCATTTTTTTTAGTTAAAATTGAGTATTTTTGGTCAATAGCTCCCAGGTCATGTGACCTATTGACCTAAAATCAGTGTGAAATTGTTCTACTAGTCTCTGTAGATGGGGCACACTCATTTGTTTTTCATTTTAACTCTTCTTTTTTTTTTTTCACCAATTTTTTTAGTTAAAATTGAGTATTTTTAGCTCCCATTGAGTTACTATCTCATTATAATGAGATACTATCTCATTATATTGAGATACTATCTCATTATAATGAGATACTATCTCATTATATTGAGTTACTATCTCATTATATTGAGATAGTTTTTTTTTTTTTACAGAGTGGCGGAAACGGGCTTCCATAAGAAACAGTTAATTTATAATTATGAAGTGAAAATTAATTTTTCTAAGTTCATTCTTTTCTTTATCCAAGAATACAAAGTATATTTTACAGACTTCATTTTCACTTTTTTAAAATTTTTCCAATTTCTCTTTTTTAGAGGAAGTTTTATGAAAGGAATTCTTTTTAAACTGCATTTAACAATCACATTTTCTTCCCTCCCAGCCCAATACAAACGAGGAATAAAAATGCTGCACTAAAAGCCATGTAGACCAAGAGTAATGCATTTTCATTATTCACTCCAGAGAAAGCCTGCCCCTGAATTGGCAGGTGTAAAAAAAGCTAATTGAAACAAAAGCAATTCGTAAAACTCCACCAGAAAAAGAGGAATTATAGAAGAATGAAATAAAACTTTTAAGAAAATGATTAAGAAAATACATTCTGAGAAAACAACAGTTACTCTTAGAAACTTTTTCTTTTTTTGACTTTTTTTCACTTCCTTTAAATTTCTATTTTTTCAAGCAAAGAACAAAGCATGTTCTTTGTTTGCAATAATGATGGAACAAGATTCATTCCGTAAAGTATCAATGCAGCAGCATGTGTGGTTGTGATTCTTAGGGCGTACATGGACAGGTCTATGTGCTGCAGCCTCATCAGATACATGTCAGACAAGGACTTGGTGGCCTGCTCTGAAGTTTTGGATTCACAGTCTTTTGCATCAGCGGTGAAGTTCCGGGGTGGAAGCCGCGGTGGATGATTGTTGGATTCTGCAACACAAACCAAATGTAGGAGGTGTAAGAATTCTGTTGAGGTTGACGCCTGTTTGCATTTTTTTTCTAAGGAAACACAGAAGAAGATTTAACCTTGCTCTTCTTCTACCTCCTCCTCCCTCTGGACTGGGTACTGCAGGTGTGTGACCAGGCCCATGTTGGGGCTGTAATACGCCTCCACCAGCTCAGGCAGCATTGCAAAGAACCTAATTGGAACTCCCTCAGACGCCTACAGAGAGAGAAAAAAAAAGACTTTTTATAAACATCTTTGCAACAGGAATTATAACCGCTTCTTGAACAAAGCAGAGCTGTTATTAAGTAGAAGGATGTGATTCAGAATTTTCAAATTTCTATCTTACAAATCAAGATTAAATGCCTTGCATTTGTACTCATTAATTTTTACTCTAATAATTCTAAATAAAATGGAAAATGGTTGTGAAAAGGCTTATAATCCATGATCTGACTACAGAAAGAGCATAGCACTACTGTGAGGAATTTGCAGAGATGTGAAAAGAGATTCGTCAGACTCTCCACAAATCTGCTCTTTAAACGAAAGTGCTGCAAAAATGAAACAGAAAGATAAAAAAAAACAGTCCTCCTTCAGTTTGCCACAGGCCATGTGGGGGATGGCGCAGATTGGCCAACCACTTGTGTTGAAAAAAAACTAAAACTGAACCCTCATCAAATCCCCTTTAAAACATGGCGGATCGCGTTGTTAAAAAGTGCTGACTCATAAACTCTTCATATTTTTAAAACTGTAAGTTCTTTATTTTCCTCTTCTCATGCTAAATTTGTATTAGTCTGCTATGCAAAATAGCCACAAAAAATTTGTTGATTCGATGTGATTAGATTATGTTGAAGTAGTAATTCCCATAATTTTGCCATTGACACTATATTTATCGTTTCTTATTTTAACATCTACAATCATGTTTAACTAAATTCTTTTGCAGCCTTTCGTGGAAGAGGATATAGCAAAAACTACAAACTATGGTAGCATTCAGAGGCAGGATCCTCTTTTAGTTGCAGAAATGCTTCACATATAGCATTCAGTTTGTCTTAAAAATAAAAAATGAAAGCATGATACTTTTTTTTATTTGAAAAATAAGTGTTTGTGGTAAAGAGCGTAAACTTCCATTAGACTGACATCAACATTGGTTCACAGATGAAAAACACAGCAGGAACGTTAGAGTCCTTTTTGGATTCAGCAGGGAGGTGAAGGACTCGTTCTGAGCTCTCTGTTGAACCCCAGTCAGCCTCAGCAGATGGCCGCTCACACTGAGCCTGGTTCTGCTGGAGGTTTCTTCCTGTTAAAAGGGAGTTTTTCCTCTCCACTGTCACTAAAAGCATGCTTAGTGTGAGGGATTGCATTCGACTCAATGAGTCGATGCAATCGACTGGTTTTCCTTACATAGAAAAATTTGAATCAATTTGACTGTATGATCTGGTGAACTGTGAAAGTGCCTTGAGATGACGTGTTGTGAATTGGCGCTATATAAATAAACTGAATTGTATTGTTGGTGTGGTTTCCCTGACACAGGCCTTACAAACATTTGAAATATTCTTCCACTTGTTAAACATCTTTTTCTAACTTTATGCTTTGGCATTTCCCCATAATACCAGAATATTGAACTCAGTCTTAACAGTTTACAATGAAGTGTTGTTGGTACTTTTTTTCCTGTGGCCCAAAATCCTCAAATCAAGTACGCTGGTACAGCTGTTAAAGGTATAGTGTAGGATTTTCGAGAATAAAAAAAAATAAATAAATAAAAAATGCACACGTACAACACTGTAGCCGCTTCCGAGAGGGAACGCCTAGTAAGCACATGTGAGAACATGCACGACCCATTTCTCCGTGTGCACACTCTGTTTAAAAGTTGCTGTTTTCATCGCTCATACAAGCTTACTTTCCAAAAGAAGATTTGCAATTTTTCCACTATGTCAGACTCACCACTGGTAAGTGAAAATGGGGACGGGCACATAGGACGGCCTTATGTAAACATATCACCAGAATGATTGACACTTAGGAGGAACACTTATTTAGATGATCCACTCAAAAACAGAACATCCTCCACTATAAGTTTAAAGTACAGGTCACTTACCATTTTAACTTTTCATTTCAGCTTAGATTTAAGTGACAGACTAAACAAACATTTCTATGAACTTAAAACAATTTCTTAAAAACGATAACAATCCCAAGCCAAATACTGCTTCTACTCAACAATCTATGATTAGTTCTCTGTTTAATTTGACAGTAATGTCTCAGTAGATTTGCAATGCAAATCTACTGGTGGCTCTACTTGGTTCCAACCAAGATAGCTTTGACTTTATTCTCGTAATATCATGACTTTATTCTGGAAATTTTATGACTTTATTCTTGTAATTTTACGACTTTATTCTTGTAATTTTATGACTGTTCTTGTTGCGACTTTATTCTTGTAATTTTATGACTGTTCTTGTTGCGACTTTATTCTTGTAATTTATTGACTTTATTCTCATAATATTACAACCTTATTCTCGAAATAAAAATAAAATAAAAACAATCTCGGGCCCTAATAGACCATCATAAAATCTCCAGTCAAAAATAACTTTATTAGGTGAGCTCTATAATCAGGAAAATAAGGTAACTTTTTTAAAAGTGATAATACGCAACTTTTTAACCACTAGGGGCACTAGACTTGTCACATCCAAACAATCACTGATTCGGAGACTCATCTAAATTGGCGTAACCATTATGTAATGCCCTATATAGTTATTAGAGAGGCCGTTCGGACACAGCCTTAGTGCTTTCTTGTTTGCAGCTTAGATTTATGGTAAATGTGAAAGACATCAAACCACCGGATGTTTTAAGCGTTTTGAGGTCAACAGTTGCTTACTTGAGTCAATTTTCTGGTTAGTCCAGCCACTGTGAGTAACAGTAGTTTTTCAGATATTAAATAAAAATACTTAAAGAGTAGATACAATCACTTTAAGCTCATTATCTTTCCCTTAAATATAAGCATTACCTACTTTACGCATTACTTTTCATAAATTTGTGTTGGAAAATTGATTTTGGAAAAGAGTCTCTGCTACTCAATTCTTTTTATTTCTTAATTATACAATGTATTTTTTGTATTTTATTTTATACCTTACATTGAAATACCAGTAATTTAATATGACTGTCTGATTACATCATTTTAAACATTAAATCAGATTGTAAGAGCCAATACTTGAGCAGGCAATTTACATTATTAACTACTTTTTACTCTTACTTGAGTAAATTTTTGGATGACTTTCTACTTTCACCTGAACAAAGATAAAAAAGCGTTAACGTAATGATCTCTTTTTCTTGCCACCTCTGCTCAATAGACAATGAGTTTCAGTAATCAGTTATGTATTCAATAACTGATTCTTCACACGGTAGGGTTGATGATTTATCAGATTAAAGATACAGTCATGACTAAACCTTTTTTAGTTTTATGGCCCTCTTTTCTTTTAGGTTTTTAGGTATGTTCCTATGGTGGAGTGAAGCGCATCTGTAAGTTTTAAAACTTTCTGAGTAAATACAAATCTCTAAATGTTTGTGGACATTCTTTAAGGGCCTTTCCTGTTCACATTAACGACCATGTTTACCATGAGTACAAATCAGTACTCATGGTAAGTACAGGCCGCAGACAGGAGGCCTCTGATTGGTCAAATCTACATCCGCTCCACTCTATGCATATTTCCTGTTTGGTAGCTTACCGGCTTGTTTTGTTTGTATGACCGCCATTTTGGAAAACGACTCGTGAAGAGGGACCAGCTAGAGAAGCGAGGTGCGCCAGAACGCTGGGACCCTTTTTCCACCTGGATCCTCACTCTTTTTCGCCCTGATCTTCCTCCGTTGTCTCACAAACTTGCCCCCACTTCCTCACGGCTTTGACATTTCTAGACCCAAAGCTAGTTCGTGATTGACCCTCTTGCCTTGTGGCGTGGAATAACATAGCACAGACCACGCTCCGATATTGGGTACAGATCAAGAATATCTGTGACACACTGCTACGGGAGGATAACCAACCCTTCAGTGTCTCGTTCCGATCCCAGTTTGTTGGTTTATGCTTTTCTGGAAAGAAAGTTGACACCACAACCATCATAGTTTCTTTTAGGAGGATTAATGGGTGAAGATAACTCAGCACCTAGAAGTTTAATCTGTCCTCGATGTTGCTTCAAGGCCATTGTCTCCACTGCACTCCCAAACATCTGCTAATGTTAAGCAACCTCTGCGCTGGGATCAACATTGAGAGCCTACATTTAGACAAGGTTCTCTTGTATTTTCCTGCATGTGAGACCATTTTATGCAAAGCAACGATGGCTGGAGGTTTATCTTTGGAGCTGATCAATGCAAACCAAAATAATCAAATAATTTTGCCCATTTTACAGCAAATATCTTCTTCAGCCACAGAAAGTTCAAAGAGCAACAGTACTATTTGAGGAGACAGCTCAGTTTGAAAGTTTTGCTTCACAGTCTGGAGATGAAGCACCTTTCCACGTGTTTGTGCAGAGGCTTGGGTATAGGAATTTATTTGTTTATTACAGCTGTATTCTGAACAACGTGAATATGTTTGGGACTTTGTTGCCTGAAGATTCTTAAATAAAAAGAGGAAATGTTCGCAGTTTTGGTTTCAAATCCAAGAGGAATCATACATACAAATAAATAAATTACCCCTGGCTAAGATTTCTGATCAGCAGCAGATTTTGACCTCAATGAGGTCGCCACATTCATCATCGCATCTGGACAAATCTGTACAAACATCTGCTGCCAACAGACCCAAAATAATCCCGGTGACCTTTAGTCAAAAATACATTTGGCTGGTTTCAAACGGCCTACCCACCTGAACAGAGAGCTTCTTGTCCTCATTTGGCAGGATCCTGTATGTGTACACACAGTTCTGGTATCTGCAGTGAGCAACAAAATGCAAATATCATCCATTAAACTGACAGGACATTATGGTATTAGTGATTGGGATGCATTCATAGTAGGCTGGTCGCATTTAAAAACCTGAAACAACTTTGAATAAAAAAAAGGGTGGTGAAGAGGACAAAGGGTGGTGTTGCATGATAGAAGAGAATGCAAATAAACGGGAACTAGTTTTTTTTCTGTGGTGTGAAAGTGTGCAAGCGTGCAAAAAGATGTGACGCGTAACAGCAGGGGAATTTTAACATATAATCTTAAAGGTTTAACGATGCAATTACAAGACAACTGGTAGAACAACCTGGTGATATTTTTTTACTGACAGGATCAACGGCTCATATAAGCGTGCTTTACCAGGAGGATGTGTTTAAAAATCAACTTAGTGTTCATTTATTCATCAATGCACAATAATAAAGAGAAGTCAACTTACAAAACGCAGAGGGCGTAAGCTCCCTGTACGGACTCACTGTCCCGGATAAGAAAGCTTCCATCTCTTGCTGCTTTGGAGAGGAGATCCTCAGCTTTGGATCGAGTTATATTGTCATGGTACCAAGGCTGTTGACTTGGCATCCTGTATTAAACCCCAAGAGCCGTGAGCTCAAGTGTTTTGCATCCGTCGTCAACGATTTAAGACAAAAATCCCTCCAACCGTTATGGATCTCAGCTTTTCTGCCCGGCCGTTCTCATCTTTGCATGGACCCGTTCTACCTCTTCATCATCCTGTGCCTGTTCAAGCTCTAAAAGGAAGCTGCTCCTAGATCTGCACTGAACTTCCTCATTTGAGAAGTTGCAGAGGAGGGCCTTGGTTCCTGCGCTCTGCATGTTGTACAGCAGATCCTCAGGGCTGTAAAACTGAAATATGTGCTTTTTACTCGTAGAGGAGCATTAGTCATGCCCTAATGATTAACTAACACCCTTTACTGGGACGCCTTTTACACTCACTTATTAATAAGAAATATTCAGGAAGTATCTTTTGGTGAGAAAACTGAGGTAAAGAAGAGAAAATGGGAAGTAGGAGGGAGAAACTTAGAGCCTTCTTTGGTATTACTTTATTACTTGTTGAAAAATCCTCATCAATCCATTTTGGTCTCTTTTAGTCTTACTTCTATTGATATCGATCAAGAGAGGTTCTGTAGAGTGCATAGATTCAGGAAATGCATGTTCAGAGCAGCTTGCTTCGTTCAAGTGATGGACAGGAAGTCGTGCAGAAATTAGAGGAGGAAAAAGAGCTGCTTGCAAACCACAACCTAGATCACATGACATGAAAACAGAACTACGCAGCGAAAAGTCACGGCACCCCTTCAGAACTTTCTGGCCCTGAACAGACACTTTCACAGAGGCTACAGAAGGACGTTCAACCAAACTTGTAAATTTTACTGAACGGCGGTACTTAAGAGCTGGTCTCTGAGTAACAGCAACAATCAGAAGAACAAAAAAAAAAAAACTAGGAGTCAGAAATTTTCATTTGGGTTTTTTTATGGAAATGAGAAGGAAGCAAATTCATTTGCTGAGTATAAAAAATACATGCAGGTTAAGACGACAGACAAGGGTTTGTGAGGTTTGTCTCACACCTAATTATGGTTTACAAATCACATGTAGACAAAGTTAGAGCCGGATATTTTGTGGCATTGGGCAATATCGTAACAGAAATACACAGCATGACAGTTTTAAGACACTGAAAAAGTGAAGATATTTACAACCAGTGTTTTTTCTGCAGATGTCTGCCAGCAGTTGCAACACATCCCCACTCTTTGCACATGCATACTTTGAACAGTGGTCTCAGACTGTCTACTTAACCACTCTTGGCTCTAATTTTAGCACAGAGGTAGAGCTTGGCTAATGAGACAGTTTGGCCAATAACTTCAGATGTGCATGGCAAGAGGTACATCTAAATGTTGTAGGACACCCGCCCTCGAGGGTTTAAGTTTGAGGCCAATGCTTTATTGTGAGCAGAAAACTTCAATTTGAGCTATTTTGATTGCATTACAAACAGCTGGTGTCAGAGATCCCTTAAGAGGAAAAACAAGATATTAATACGTTTTTAAAAAATTCTTAAATTTTGTGTTTTTATCCTTAAATTGAGCAGGTAAATAAGATGTTTTGTATTTTTATTCCTAAAATAAGATAATTAGATAATATGCACCTGAAATAATTTTAAATGTAAATTGTCTTGTTGCATTGGCAAAGTGTCCCACTTACCTACTCAATTTCATTTTCAAATTTAATTTTTTTGCTGTGCAGGTTAGGGGCCTAAGCACCTGGGGCCCTCTAAAGAGAATTTAAAAAGATGCAGGGAAAGGTTAACAACCACACTGTTTGCATACATATTAGGGAAAACAAGCATAGAGTCATATTGCTTATTTCAGTTTGTTGTTGTCTGAGCTAAGCTGGTATTTCATACTTAACTGATGATGCTCAGAAAGCTAAATGCACATTAAACTGTACTGCTAATAATGAAAGGTGTTTGTTTTCATTTGGCTTATAGGACAAAACACACTAAAACCAGAGCAGCTCTGAGATACTCCCACATCAGAGCGCCCTCCAGGTCAAAGGTCATCTTGTTGTGTCCCGTTTCGTCTAAAGCTCATAAGAAAGTTTGGTTCTCTTTTCAGGTGTTTCGATCGTAGGTAATCATCACAATAAACACATTAATTAGAAAGAAACTGGCTGTTAAAAAGGGGGTTTTGTTTAAAAAGTTTTATTGGTTTTGATTGGTTTGGTGTAGAAGGCTTACAGCCGTACATGTTTGACCCCTTGCCTCGCAACGCTGCCAGTTCTGTTAGCTCTACGCCTGCCGAAGACACAGACGTCCATCCGCGTGAACACTGGGACGGAACTTAATGGGAAAGGAAATTATTCTTATTTCAGCCGCTGCGTATATTAGCTGCGACACATGAATCAAGATGTTATGACTGAAAACATTTGATTGACAGATGACCGTTGATATATGATTGGCCGAATGTAGGTGTTCAAGCTGACATATAACTAACTGGCCTGCATAAAATAGAATAAGGTTGTCAAATTACGAGAATAAAGTAATAAAATTACTAGAATAAAGTCATAACACTTGTTATATTGCTTTTTAACTTGTGTGTAAAATGAGCCTAATGTGGATATAATGCTAGCACATTAGCAATTAGCCGTGGTTCGATTACTGTCGTTTCCTGTCCTCCTACACTGTAAGTAAAAAAGTTTACCAGCAGCAACACTTAATGACTGCCTGCATGGGAGACCTTAGAAATAGCCTCTTTTGGTGAAATAGAGACATTAGCGGTGTTAGCATTGCGGTGTACCATTAGCACATTACATTAACAACATCCCATTTTAACAGAAAAAAGGCCTGGTTTATTTCCATCTTGATTTGATATATAATAATTCTATCCTACTGCGATATGTAGATTCCAGTTTGTTCATGTTAATGTTAGAGTTTTATTCAAGCTTTAGGATTACTTGCGGAGTACCACAGGGATCAGTGCTAGAGCTAATGGTCAGTTCTATATACATGCTTTCTATTGGTAGAATTATCAGACAGCAGGGGATTCACTTCCACTCTTATACTGATGATATTCAGCTATATTTGTCCATAAATCCGTATGAAACTGAACCATTAGGCAGGAAATAGGCATGTGTTGAAGAGATGAAAACGTGGATTAATTTAGATTTTCTGCTATTGAATGTAGGAAAAGACTGAATTTATTGTCCTTGGACCAGAATCTTTGAAAAATAAGCTTATTGCTCTGTCACCTCATCTTGATGGCATTAAATGGCATTAGATAATAATGTAAAAAAAACCTTGGAGTTATTTTTGATCAGGATTTGTCATTTTACCAGCATATTAAACAGGTTTCTAGAATTTCCTTATTTCATCTCTGGAATATTCTCATAGGAAATATTGTCCAGGGGTGATGCTGAGAAACTTGTCCATTCACTGATAACTTCAAGGCTGGACTATTGTAATTCTTTAGGATTAGTAAGTCCAAAAATTGTCGTTAAAATCCTTCAGCAAATTACTGCAGTCAGACTACTGATGAAAATAATCATATGTTCTTATTTTATCTTTTCTTTAATGGTAGCCTACCTGTTAAAACCAGAATAAAATTAAAAAGTCTCCTTCTCAGTTATAAATGACCAACCTCCATCTTGTATTAGAGATCTGATTGTTCTTTATGTTTCTAACAAACCACTTCACGTTCATAGGATTTCTAAAAGTAGAATGGGAGGCAGTTTTAACCCATTAGTCAGAAACACTGTCTGCTTATATGACTTGGCTTAAAACCTTGCCTTAAAAAAAAAGATCTGCCTCTGCAAAAGGCCGCTCACTCTGAGCCTGGTTCTGCTGGAGGTTTCTTGCTGTTGAAATTTAGTTTTTCTCTCTGCTGTTGAGCATGCATGCTTAGTGTGACGGATTGCAGTCACCAACCTACTGCAAGCAAACATCTACAATAATCAAATGCTTATTCAGATGAAGTGAATCCTGCAAATTAAATTACTGGATGCAGTTGGCTGGTATCCTTTAGATAGAAAACCTGTTTATTGTTATCAAATTGTCTCTGTAAAGGACCTACAGATGACATGTGTCTTTAATTGGCACTACATAAATAAACTGAATTGGATTAGAAGTTTGGGTAATGGCTCCTTTTAGGAAAATACAGTATAGGGCCTAGACACTGGAGACCTCAGCCTCCTTCATAGAATATCTGTTGTACAGCCCATTGGCATTGTGTCAAAAATGTTGTCTTACAAGCACAAAATATTGCACATCTCTGTGTGCTATTTTGCTTTTGGCCTTGAGTCCCACAGCTGAAACATCTCATTGACTATCTTTCATCCCTACATCAAACCTTAGAGCCACAAACCCAGCTCCCCCGTACGGAAGCTGACTTTCACAGACCTGTTGCTGCTCCTCTGGGGGCTCAAGCAGAACTATGTGGACGTCTTTTGCCACCATTGTCTTAATTTAAAGAAATTAATTGAGATGAGGACCAAATTGGACTGAAACAGACAGCGTTATGTCCTTTTTTCCCCTTTTAAACAAGTTTTTTCTATCAAACTTTGATTTAAAGAGATTTTTTAAAGGGTTCATTAGATCCAGAGTGAAAACTGGATGTTGGACTTTAATTAATGCTTTTATCATTCTTAATTCAGGTTAAGGTCCTTAACGTCCATACAAAAGGTAAGAACAAAGCAGTTTTATGTGTCTTTTGCGTCTAATTCAGAACTCAGACTTAGCACTCAGAGAGCTCTCATGTGTTCCCTTTAAGTCTCCGCTGGTGGCCCCAGTCATCCCCGCCTTGTCTTTACAAAACAAGCGTTTCAGTGTGCTGCGGAACTTCTCTGCCCCAAACAGATACACCAGAGGGTCCATAGCGCCATTCAGGCAGGTAAGAGAGGAGGTGAGGCGATTAGCCATGCTCAGGGCTCTGCGTGTTTGGCAGGATACGTCTGGGTGGCTGTAACCAAGGATGAAGGTGGCTCTGCTCAGATGATACGGCAGGAAGCAGACCACATAGATGAGCATGACTGCGCCGATGGTACGCAGGGCCCGCAGCTTCAGGGCAGGTTCCAGCCTGGAGCCCCGATGCAGGCTGTGGATGATAAGCAGGTAGCAGGACAGGGTGGCCAGGAACGGCGGGGTGAAAGCCACAGCCAGAGAGACCAAAGCTTTGCGGGAGGCCTTCTCTCGATACAGCTGCAAACACACTGTTGTGTTGTCCACCTGTGCTGTCTGATGGGTGACCAGCAGTGGCGCCATGGAGACAGTAACCAAGACCCATAGAGATAAGCTGACGATGTGAGCATATCGACCTTGGCGAAGCTTCATTGACCTCACAGCGTGAACCACAGCCAGGTAACGGTCTCCCGCCACACAGGCCAGGAAATACAGACTGGCGTACATGTTGACATAAAACAAAAAGCCCGTCACCCTACAGGGGACCTCACCCAGAGGCCAGTGACCTCCAGTGAAGTGGTAGATTGCTCTGAGGGGGAGGATGATCACGTAGGATAGGTCTGCCACAGCCAGATGAACCAGGAAGACGTTGGCGGGTGAGGAAACCCCACGCTGACGGGAGAAGATCCAGAGAGCCAAACTATTTCCACCGAGGGCCAGGACAAAGAGCACCATGTAGAACCATCCAAAGAGCTGGTTCTCGGTGGCGGTCTGTGCTGCTGCACAGCTCTCTGATGACTGATTTGACGGCAACGATGGCTCTGCAGCTGTAGACGAATCCATGTTTAGTTTCTGAAGAGACAAAAGAAAGCAATGAGTTTGAGAGACGTTTAACTGCTAAATTAATCTTTTTCTCATTTAGTTACCAATTGCAGATGTTTATTTGACTTCACCATGAATTTGTCAAAGTAGAAAAGGAAGGTTAATTCTTATTCTAGGAGCAAACTTACTTTGTGACAGGAAGCCGTATCAGTTTAGCCATGTCAAATCAAAGCGAAGCAACAAGCTGGGAGAGAGTTTGTCGCTATGCCAGACTCTCAAGGTAACAATAGATGTTAGTGTCCCTGGTTAATATGCCAGTGACCTCAGAGCATCTAATTGCTGTTCTCTGCCCATTAAAATCCTCTACAAAGCCCAGGAAGTCAGCCCAGGTCATTAGCTCTTTACTTTTCTCTTTGTTGCTTAACCGGCTTTGCTCTCAGACTTCTGACAACTGATTTATGTGAGCTGCTAATAAAGAAGCAAAGCCTTTTTGCACAAGATATCACTGCAGTTTTTTCCCCCCAAAAAGCAGGAAACAATTTTTTTTCAGGCTGTTGATCTAAACTTTAAAGTTCAAGGCGGAAAAATTAAGGTTTTCCAACATTATGAAATCCAATATGGCTGCTGTGTGTTTAAGACAAGCTGATAAACTGAATCTTTGCAATTGTGCGCAAGTTCCATACATGTATGGGTTTAGATTGTTTCACAAACTGAAACTTTGCACTTGTGCTCAAGTTACATACATGTGTCGGTTTTGATTGTTTCTGATTTGCTTTGCAGTTTTGAAGCATACAGTGTTACAAATAGTTGAAACCAAAGTCTTTACACAAACTGCATGAAAATGCTTGTCCTTTTCTCTTCTGACATTAAATCAGACAAAACTTTTCCCTTTTTGGGTTATTTTGATTACTAAGATTAGTTATGTTTTCTAAATACCAGAACAACAAATAACTTTAACCAACATTTAATTCAATCTGAAAAACTCACAGAGAGAGAAAGATGCAATTAGAAGAGTTTTATTGATACAATAGTTTGAACTTTGGCGCTCAGGCCTCGGCAGGGAACATAAACGCTGATTTATACTTTAATGCAGATAAACTGATGTATGAGAGTATGGATATTTCCCCCGGGCCTGAAACTGGTGGTGGAGTTTAGATAGATGAAGTTTGGTTAATCCATAGAGGCTGGTATACAGGGTGATGCTTGAGTTAGATGTCACTGAATGAACAGAGTTGCATAAACTGTCCATGAAGAGCAAGCATAAAGCAACTGTGGAGAGAAAAAACTCCCCTTTGGTAAGAAATCTCTGGCAGAACCAGGCTCAACATGGCGGTCTTCTGCCGGACCGTTTAAAGTGACGGGGAACTCCATGAAAGTCTGGAGGACTACGCACTGGAGGTGAGGTTGAAGGAGCATCAAGGAGGAGTTGGATGAGCTTACTACAATGGTGGAGAAGGGGATGGAGGTGGGTTGTCTGAATTAAAGTCCGACATAGCGACGGATCTTGCGCTTGTTGAAGAGCAGGCCGAGAGATGATTTGGAGAAGCTTTTAAAGGTGGGTGCTGGAAGATGATTGGGCATCGAGGAGATGAAGCTTGAAGCGGATTGGCTGCATCAGAGGCGGATCAGTCCCGGATTGAATAGAAGTAATCAGATTTTCTTCAGTTGAATTTCCGCCTTAGCTTCATTTTATATCTTGTCAAATGTATTTTTAAACTGACTACCCTCAACCGTTCAGATTTTACTATAAGAAGCTTCTTACAATACTTTGCTGGTATTTTTTACCCTCTGACAGAACCAGTGTTCTGGTTTGTATTCCACGTTGTTTGCATATCATATTTCCCTTAGGACCTTTGGAGGGCCCAGATATACAATTTTTCTGTGCTTCAGCTAATTTGGTGGTCTGCTTCAGATCATTGCTCATGCAAAAGACCCATCAGTGCCAAAACTTTAAATGGTTGGTCCTTTTAGATTAAAAACATTTTCACTTACTTTCTATTTTGTCCTTTAGACACCATAGGGCTTGTAAAATGTGCCAATTTATTTAGCAGCTTAACATCTCCAATGCATGATGCGAACACTCCATACTGCTTTTTCTTTCTCCAGATGTAAAATGTTTTTTTAATCACTAAATAAGGTTTATTTGCAAACTGTGATCTGGCTTTTTATGCTGCTTTTGGAGGGATGGCTTTTTCCTCACTAAGTGATATTAAGACTCTTGCAGCAGCTCAAGCTAAGGTGTTAGCTTTTGTTAGTTAAATGGGGAACATATTTCACCTTAAAACATATTGTCGTTATGTTTCTACTTGGATATTGTTTAAATTTATAGTAGTGGTACCATCAAACAGACTGGAAATTATACCCAAAGATGAAGCAGACTTCTGGAAAAACCATCCATCATATTTCCTTTTTATAAATGGCTTGTAAAACTAATTTACTTGGCTGACCTTTTAGCTTTGCATTGCAACTAATTTGCTTCATATTTACCTTGTAAATAGCTGATATCCAAACATACTGGATATCGCTTAAACCTTAGCTGTGAATGGATTACTGTTTGACTCTCATGCAGAAGGGATTATATAGAAAGAAAATGTTTACCAGATTTGCATGAAACCAAAAAATAGCTGCATACAAAGGCTGTTGACTTGTTAGTATGGTAAATATCCGCTGCTGACATGAAACAGTATGTAGAGGTGTGGTTCAGTCATAATTTTATGTCCATTTATTGGGTTAGCTATCATTAGTTGGAGGTCATAAGGTCAAAGGTAAAAGTTGACCAAGAAAGTTGTTTTTTTATTAAGAAAAACTAAAATAAAAAAAAAAGGGGGTAATTTTGAATTCCATAAAAATAAATATTTGTCTTTTGTCAACAATGAATTACAAAACTGGACTTAGCCTAGTTGTTTGCAAATGTGCTTTTACGTGTGTGTTTAGGTGGCTAGTCCTGTTTACGATAAAATGAATTAGAATAAAAAAAACATGCTTATTGAGAGACTATAATTTTACAGTTTTTTCAGTCTATAGTTTTCCACCTGTGTATGAGGAGTTAAATTGGCTTTTTTTTTACTCCAAATATTGGAATTTACATACATGTAAAAAGTAAATGTTGTTTGAACTTTTTTCGTTTAAGTAGTTTCCAAAACGATTTTTTATTTGGCTGTTTGCACAAAAAATAGGAGTATAATGCAAATTATGACACCCAATGTAACAGTTTATAACAAAATACACTATCATGGATCAATCATACCAGAAACAAGTGCTTGCTAAAGGTGTACAGGTCTTCATTGAATGGGTATTAACTGGCATTTGGGGAATTGCATGCCCTATCTTAGATTTTTGCATAATAAAAATAGCTTGTCACATATTTGCACCACTGGGCTTTGAGGGATTCATTTGCACATGAATTTATTCTTCAACAAGTAAGATTGATGTTTCAATCAAAATTGCAAGAATAATTGATAAGGATTTGGGATGGGTGGCTTTCAGGTCTCTGAGAAATTTGGAGCAAGGTGGTGGGAGTGTCATTCTGAGGGTCTTTTTTATTGTAATTATTTTCCCCCAGCAAGCTATTTATAATACACAATGAATATAATTGAAAAGAAAGCTTCAAAGTTACACAGCGTCCTGTCAACTGAACAGCGAGTGGAAAGTTGGACGGACTTGATTATTCTGACCGGACTATGAACCCCAACACATCAGAACTCCCTGTGGAGTAAATGAAGGAGTCAACATTGAGCTGCTGACATAAATGCTCAATTAACGTCAGCAAGTCAAACATTTTTAATTAACACTGCGGCAATTGAAATAGAAATAAGAATTTTTCCTCAGATTAAGTGTATTTTCCCTCTCACTGAGCAGTTAAGTAAGACAATTGGCCAAAGGAATAAAATGGTTTACGTTTACAATAAGAAAATAACTTCATTTATAATTATCTTCTTAAAAGAGCAAAAATACTGATTCCATTGGGCAATCATCTTATCTAACTGCTCAAATACATTTATTTTACAGATTTTAACTTTTATATAGACTAGTTTTTGAAGTTACTCTAAAAGCCTGAATACTTCGACACCTGGCCTGACTGACTCAGTGTAGACTAGGGTAAGAGCTACCATCTCGTACACTTTTTAACTTGAATGTTTTACATTATGTCACTTTTTAAACATTTGAAATAAATCATTACTTGTCCACAGTCAATATGGCCTCCAGGCGGATGAGTATGTGAACTCCTTACCAGAACTGGATGAGTTATGGAATGCAGAGTTCAGACTATAAAAGGCTCTCAGTTAATGACCAAGAATGTCTCACAAGACATGAGCCCAGATTTAAACTAGAAGAAAGAAGAAAAAAAAAAGGTGAAAAAATTTAGATCAGATATTTTGCAAAAGTTCAGAAATGGGTGAGGTCTTTTTATTTTGGGTTAAAAGTCACCAAATCTTCCAGCATTCTTTGTAAGACTGAGCAATGTATTCCCAGTTTTTTTGGACACAGCTTAAAACAAAACACCCACACAATCTGTGGCAAACTTCCACCGTCCACTCCTCTTTTTCCTTTCTAGCTTTAGCTGGACACCAGTGCAGCATCAGTGGGTTGCAACATGTCAAAGCCTGACTTTATTTATTCTAAGGCTGTTTTACATTGATCATCATATGCAGCAACAAACTTTAGAGTTTCAAAAAACTGTAAAGTTTGTGACCTGCAAATCTGTCATTCCTCACATCCCACTTCCCCCTCTAACCTACTGATGTCCACCAGGTCATCCAGACGGGTTGAAGGACAAAAATCTAATCTGTGTCTCATCAGCCTCCCTTTGAGAAACCAGTCAGATGTAGCGAACTGAAACCCAGACCCAAGGCTCAGACTCTGAGCTTTCACACCTCCTAAATAAAAGAGCTGCAGGATTGGTTGGGGGGTAACAACACAGAGGGGACCAGAAAAGCCTCAAGTCATGCATCTCTCTGTGGGATTATCCTGAAAGAACAAAACTTTAAATCTGCTTGCACCGCAGCATTCTTGTAAAGCTGATCGGTGCAGACGTTCTCATAAGGAGACAAAAGTATCAAGGTCTTTTTTTTTTTTTACTTTAAGAAAAACTCAAGCTGTCAATTTATGTGTTGATTTAAAAGCTTTTTAGCAAGAAGAGGAAAACTGAAAAATACAGCTTTGCTTGAAAAATAATGGAATTTCAACCAGGGCCAGAGGTGGCCATGGCCACCCTTAGCCAAACATTGGCCACCCCTACTATAGTTTTTTTCACCCTCTTATTCAGATGCAGCAGCAATACTCTCAAGGGGAATGTTCAAACTTATAAAACATTAAAATTTTTCATATATTAATTGGTTGGTTAATTATGGTTAATTATGCACATCAAAATACTAATATTAAAGTTGATTAATACAGAATTCATGCTCTTTTCAGAACTAGATTTTGTGTTATATGGGGTAAAGACAACATTGTGTCTCTGCAAGGTATCTAGGAGTCTGCAGTGAAATCAGATAAATAACAACTTTAATAATAACTTCAAAATCAATTTAATGTAGATATTAGAACACGTAAATATTAATTTGCTGCAGAACAATCTCTGATAAAAGTAGGTTGGTAATGACAATGGAAAATATGTCCACTATACCTTTTATTTGGACAGCATTGATGTTTAAATATATGCGTCTATTTGTTAGCAAGGGCTGTAGGAAAGCATAGTTTGTCTTTATTTAGAAAATATGGATGTTGTGCTCGTTCCTGTAGGAACAGTGTAGATTTACCCTGAGGTTCTGACGCCTATCCGCTATCAGCCACCCCTCAGTGTACATTGGTTAATGCCTGGCCACCCCTATTAAAATTTTCTGGCTATGCCTCTGAGTTCAACATCACCAACCGGACCAGTCACAGATTTTTGTAGAAATTATGTTAAGATGACGGCTAACATTCTATTCAGTGTTATAGTTTAATAGAAAACCAGCAGAAACAGCAGTTATGAGGTCCATGCTGTTAATACCGTGTGACTGAATACCAGCAATGTGGTCGACTATTCTGAGTTTAGACTCTGCTGCTTGGCTAAAATGACTTCAAAATGCTTTGAAATAGAAACCAAAACTAAAAAGATGAGGAGGAAAAGTATGTTAGGCTACTCTCAAACCAACAGAAGCAGAAGAGGTTGCGGTTTGCTCAAGAATACAAAGTATGCTCAAAGAGAAATGGTGCAACATTTCACTTAAATGATGAAAGCTTTTCTTTGGGTTCTAAGGGCTGCAGACACTAAAGTCTGATCTGTGGACGCTATGCAGCATGCTAGCTTAAGCATTATGATATGTTGCTTAATGATCTCAAGCTTATTTATTATGTTATAGCAGTCAGCATACATGCAGATCAAGTGACTTATGCTGAAGAGGAAATGCCTTCCAAACGAGGGTTTCAATGAAAGAATGACCCCAAACACACCTATAGGAAACTGTGGCTTGGTCCAAATCTCAAGACTTTGCACCAATGAAAATGAGCCAAGTTGTTTCTGAAGTGCAGATTAGTTTATGGATGAAGTCCAAACATCTTGGGCTGGAACACCTGATCACAGAAGCTGTGAGCCATTCAACACACATGTGAAGCAAACCGCCTGAGCAAATAAATAGCAGGTTAAGAAAAAAGAACTCTTCAAAATCGGCTTTTTGTTATATATTAAAAGTGTGCATGGTCTATTTTTCAAATGCAAGTACTTGTTTTATTTCACTTTCTATATAATTTTCCCAGATATCTCCTTTTGCTTTCCGATAAACTGTTTGTTCAGAAAGAATATGCATGTAAGAAATGTACAAATTTGGAGATTTACTCACTTTTCCAGACATTCTACATTTATTTTTAATCTAATCACCGTCATGTTATGAAAAGGCAATAAAAAAAAGTTAGAAAAGCTATTCTGATGACAGATACTACCTATAATCAGATCTACTGTTTTAATAGAAATAGATCTGATAAAAATGAGATCATGAGAAGACTTACCGGAGGAGTGCAGGAGTCTGTGTGAAGCAGGGAGCAGCGTGTGGAGCAAAGTGAAGATGAGGAGTTTATCTGCCGCTCAGAGAAAGAACTGATGCTCTGACTTGAGGAATGCCGTCCTATAACCCCTCTCCTCTCCTCTAGATGGCCCGAGGAACAAGACTGTAGCTCTTTTTGTCTTTCAACAAATTTGATAAGAGAAAGGGAGCCCCGATGGGAGCCTTTCGTTTGAACCCTGACCCCACCCTTTCTCTCTGCATCCCCTTCTCCTCTGAGAGCCACTTGTGCGTTTCCACAATAGCCTGAGTCAGAATAACCGCCGCATTTCGGCAGCGGGGAGAAGAATGGCATGCCTCAGTTCCCAACGAGTTGTCGGGTATGACTCCATGGAAACCAGGGCTCGTGCTGCAGCAAAAGCCCCAAAAACATAAACATGCCCCCTCCCCCCATATAGATGGAAGAGTTGCTAATTGTGAAGTTTATGAGTAAAGTTGCAGAGATGATGCTTGTGGATGGTCTGTAAAGAGGGCCCCTGCTCTATGGGGCAGTGAGGGAAAAAAAAACACAAAATAAGCAATGGTGAGGGGAGGGGGGCTGCTGGGAGGAAAACAGAGGCCCTTGTTGCTCTCTTGCCTCCTGGGGGCATCTTGAATTGTAATGCCCAAAATAATCAGTCACATAGCCATCGGACAGATGTGGAGAGAGAAGCGCCTGGCTGAGGGGGATAATATTTCTTTCATAATGTGGACTCCACAGCTGTGCGCTGGAAGCATGGCCCCTTATTCTCCTCTTGGATTATCGACATGCAAACACTATTCTACAGACTTGAATGAAGCCACTATCTGCGGAAGACTGTAGACAGGCTTTGACATCACTACGCTGTTAATCGGCTGCCAGCTTCTAATTGGGATGGTTCCCCCACCCTTTGTTTGCTCCGTCTACTCTCTCTTCATGGTGCGTTTGGTAACCCCACAGCAAAGAAAACATCTCTTATCAAGTTCATCATTCTTTTTGCCGCTTAAAGGCCTTCTGGGAGCAAAATAGATCCTCTGATGGTTTCATTGACACTGTAAAGAAATGTGATGCTTTTATTTTGGGGGTTTATCCTCCTACTAGGTGTAGCTGCTGACACTTTAGAAACTCATCCTAATATAGAGCCTTGCAGCCTTTTTTATATACATAAATATACAATAAAAACTACATGTCTGTTAAAATACAAATCCTGGTTTCTATTTTGTTTAATCATTTTAAAGTCAAATATACCAAGTTGGACAAGATAAATAGGATGGAATAGAGAGAAATGAACATGGCCGGCCAAACATTAGTGGGAATGTTTTATTTGTTAAATTTACCAAGAGGAAGAAGAAGAAGGGGGAAAAAAGCAGTTTACAGGCATTACATTTTCTCAAGAGAAAACCCATTCTAGGATCAACTACTATGAATGATTTCAGACACTTTGAAAGACAGCCCTGCAGAGTTTTTTAATACCGCCAGAAGTGTGGGGCAATATTTCAAGCCTTGGGCCCCCATCATGTTGGTGTAGCACAGGAGCAGGGGCATGTTCGAGGGAAGTGACACAGAGTTGCATCGAAGGAAGTGAAGAAGAAGACAAAGAAACCCACAAACAGAAAATATAAACAGCCTGTGGTTTTGAATTTTTAGGGAGAAAGATGCTTTTTATTAGGAAATACATTCTGTGAGATATAGGTGCAATAAAATGGCTGATCAAGGAACAAACCAACTGTCCACACAAATATGATGCAACAACAGTCACATAGTTACAGCAGGCACTGACTACAACCCTAAAAACCATTCATCAAAAAGGTTTCCCAAGCAGAGAATCTCTTCATGTCTCTATGTGGTTCGCATGAATCCACAGTTACTCAGAGATTCTCTCCACCATTGGGGAACGAAATGAGCTGACAGAGCTTAAGCAGCACATATCAGAGCCCTACAGTCCTGCACAAGAAACAAAAAGCAGACAGTAGTTGGAGATTTGGCTTGTTTTGATGCTAATGCTAGATTAACTTTGGACGTGTGGCGGATTGTTAATGATCGCCATCATGGTGGTTTTAGAAACAGAGATCCAGCTAAAAGAATCTTAAACACTCAACTTATATTTTTTTATGAACAGAAAATGCTGAAGGGTGAATTTTAGAAAAAAAAACAATCAGCCAACCATTTTTTTGCCCTAGGTGTCCAGATTGGACATTTTGTCTGCTGCCCTTGCTGGGTCACGCTCCCATGATTTTTGCTGCCCCTACAATCATGGCTGCCGGCATTCTCAATAGATCTAGGACTCTGGATTTTCTCTAATAATTTTATTTATTTATTTTTATTTGCACGTTGATTGTAAAAGTAAGAACAGTTTAATTTCTGTCTGTGTCATTTGAACTGATCTGCTGCTTTGCTGAACTAAGATAAGCTAAGCTGTCCTAAAAAGGAGGTCGGTGGATAACATCACTGCCTATTTTCCATACTTGGTCACTTTAAATATGTTTAAAACTAAAGAGAAATACTATACGATGTAATATTGAAGTAATCAAAATATTTCACCCGAACACAAACCACGTAAATCAATCTTGCTAAATTTAACCTAAAGACAGTTAACAGAAACACAGGCTTGGTATCAATTAAATTCAGGAAGGGATCTATTTAAATGCAAGTTTAAAAAACAAACAAAAAAAAACATTTTGTTAAATATTGAATTAACATCCCGCATTTTTTAATCCAGGGGGGATCCGTTAATGTTGTGCACATGTGTGACTCACTTTCACAAGGAAACAGAGGGGAGAAATAACTGCTTTTATGTTGTCACCAATGTCTCCAGCAACAGAGAAGAAAGCCGCTGGATAAATCACCTTTTTGAAAAATAAAACAACAAAAAACACTAGAGGGGTTTGAAAAATCATTAAATATCGCAACAAAGTCGCTAAGATGCCACAGTTCTAAGATCAAATGGCTAATCTTTGTTAGTTTTATAACATTCACTGCAAAGCAATATGTTTGAGAGGCCCTAAAACATCCTATAAGTTTGGTTTGCAAAGATTAGCGTGAGCTACACTGAAATATGTTGCAGGCAAGTGATATCAAACCATCAAACATTGAAAAAAAGCAAAACCAATTGCATTTTCTCATTTTAAGTGCACATTATCTAATTATCTTATTTTAAAAGTAAAGATTCTCATTCCATTGGCAAACTATCTCATTTACCTATTCAAATTAAGGCTAAATACACTTAATTTAAGACATTTTTACCTATTTCCATGGTTATTTTCAGTGTATTGAGAACTTTGTATCTGTATATCTGTTTACTTTTTTGTGTTGTCAGAATATAATGTTTTTAGAACTTGTTGGGATAAAATATCTACGGTTGCCAGTTAAGCAAGGGTCATTGCTAAGCTACTGAAGAAGAAGACGGTACTGATGCAAACCATGTAATACTGAACAAATTTAGTGCATCATTTTATGGCAAATTATCTATTTAGGAAGTAATTTCCATTTCAGAGACAGAAAAAAAAATCCTGATTAGGAAATTTTTAGTGTTTAGTTCTTAAAAATGTTTAGGTAAATATGCAAAGGGACCAGGGCTTTACATTTTCCTGTTTGTGAAGCAACAAATCAAAGCTAAGAAATACTTATTTACATGCAATAAATCTGTGGCTTTGTTTTTTAAACCAAATTACATTAAAAACTCTGATAAGGAGTTGTGGAGCTGCAAGGAGAAGCAGGGTTGAACTCCTAATGTCTACATGTTGTAGCGATGGCCCCTGGACTGCGCCGTTCTCTCCCTGAGATACATGTTCACATAGGAAGTAATCAGATCATCCATCTTGTAGCCCTATTAAAGAAAGAAGAGTTAAATTATTGCTAAGAATCAGCTCCAGCTCTTAGAGAAAAGATCACCTTGTTTGAAAGAAAATAGCTTACCAGCGAAGTCTCGCAGAGGAATTTGTTACCCTTCACTAAGCTGCCAACGGTCATGTGGAAGTAGGTGCTTCCGCTGCACCAGCTAGCTATTTTGTTGTATGGGTGGTTTGCCAAAACATCCTTGTGAGACAAAAAAAAAAATGTCAGTAAAGGGAATCTATGAAAGATAGTGAATGTGATATTTCCTGTTTCTGTTTTAACCTTGGTCTTTGGGTGCAAGATGGTGAGTCCAGTCTTGCTGATTGCGATTCGCACAATATCTGGAAAATCTGGCTCTGACGTTTGCTGAAAACGGACATTAAGACAGAAAAATTACCACCTCCCCTGTTGCTGTTCCTCCCCGTCATTAATGTGTTTGCTTTCTGCATGCAAGAGGACTAAGAGGTGGGTGAGTGCAATGAGCAGACCATGCAAGCAATCTAAGCAGATGACAGATAGCAGAACGACTGCAGAACCCACCTTCACTTCAAAGAAAGCGCAGCCGAATGTCGGCCAGCGGCAAACCGCCTTCAGAAATGCAATCTTTGCTTCATCAACTTTCATATTGGTACGTCTGTTAAAGGCTGCGATTATATTCTGAAAAAGAAATACAAAACAGACAAATGAAAGCACAAATATGAGGTTGGGTATAGCAGCATAGCTGTAGAAAAAGAACAAAACCACTGCCCTGCTTTTAATGAGGTTAATGCGTTTCTCTCACACCCCACGGCCTTCAGGGGAAGTTCTCACTGGGCGTGGGTGGGGGTGTCAGGAGGGGTTTCCTCCTCCATAAAGGTCTCTCCTCATAAAGATCAGCCAAATACTGACAAAGGATTATGTTTTTCTTACTCTCCTTTCCCGATATCTTTTCACACACATCCACCCACAGCCACAGATGAACTGAACTTCCCAGCATTTATTAATGAACACTTATTTCAAATTCTCATCTAAAACAGCTCTGCAGGAAATCCAGTATATCTGCATATTTAATTATCTTTAAAACTTACAATACAGCATTTTTGAATCTTTCATCATCTCTTTAGCAGTGGAAGTAGAAAAAATCCCCAATCTAGACAAGTCAATTTTTCTTAAATTAAATGCATTTGTTCTTGAACTGAGGAAGTAAGTAAGACACTTTGCCAATGGAACAAGACAATTTAAATTTAAAATAAGAAAATTAAGAATTTCAAGTGCATATTATCTATCTTATTTTAAGAGTAAAAACGCTCATTCCATTGGCAGATCATCTTATTTTATCTTATTTAAGACATTTTACTTAGATTGTTAGATTGTTTTTGCAGTGCATAGACATGATTTTAGCCCTTAGAGCCTCAGGATAGCTTTGTGAGCTAGTCACGCTGCAAAAACTGAACTCAACGTAGGCCAAAAGAATATGAATTTTGCACCCAAAATGAAAGAATCTCCATTACCTTAATTCAAGGGCCTTAATTATCTTATTTAGGCCTAAAAAATACACCCCAGTGGTAGATCATTTTACTTAACTTACTGAATGAATGGCAAAACCACTTAATTCAATAAATGTCTTATTTTCAGATTATTTTTGAAGTGTGTAGGTAATATACACATTGCTTTGTATAAGTACACATTCCTGTTTGTATCTTTAATAACATTAAATACGCTTCAATGTGTTTTATTGTAGCAAAAAGCTGTGTGTGACTGTGCAGCAGAAGTGGGGCAACATGTGGCATAAAGTCAATGCTCAGTACAGGAGCCTTTCACTGCGGTCACAGCTGCACCATGCAAACATTTTTTAAAACAAGTGGTGGTGCCCTTCATTTGAGCAGGTAAACATGATGATCTACCTGTTGAATTTCCAATTTTTGTGGTGTAGCTCTTTTACAGTATGTCTAGAGTTTTTAATGCCTTTATAACCGGCATTGTTCTTTACTAAACAGCTAGAGCTCTGCCTGGTTTTCTAAGAGCAAATTTTCAAACTGACCTCAAATCCAAAATTGGTTTAAAAGAACCTATATCAAGCAAAATCATCTTTTTTATAATGTTATTCCTTCATCTAAATCATGCACTAAGTGATTTTTCTCCTAATTCATGTATGTCTGGATAATCCTAATAAATTCTGTTTTTTAAGCAGCCCCTCCAAAGCAGGGGTCAAATAAGGGTCAAATCCATTTTAAAGATATTTTCCAGTCAAAACGTACATAATTACATACTTGGCTCTTAAGAGAGGCCAAAAGCACCAGCAGGTTACATATCCACCTCTCTCAACTCCTTGATTAAAAACCCAAACAACAGAACTGCGGTCAGCCTCATCCTCTGTGCTTTTGTACCTTTTTCCACTCGTTTTCAGACATGGCCTTCAGCTGGTCGGCAGGAACGAGCTCCTTCAGCACCTTGGGAATCGTGGCGATCTGGCTTTTGTCACCGCGGACCTTTACTAAGAAGAGCATAGCAGCGATGTTGACCATATCCTCCTTGGTACACACATGATAGCCTCTCAGGTACTTAGGTAACTCCTGGAAAGCAGAGATTGTTGGAGGTTAGTTACAGAGCCAGTCTGAAGTTTAAATCCTGTAGATACAATCAAGAATATGAATGATTTTTGACATTTGTACTGCATTTTCTCCCCTTTTGGGTCAAAATTATACATACACTCCCAGCATAAAAAAAAACACACATTTTAGTCATCCAACCATTAACAATATCCTGACATAATTTATGCAGGAATAAAAGAACAGGAACAAACAACACTTCTACACACAGCCCATCCAAAAGAGCTTGGTTTAAGGTTAATCCTGAAGCCTAATGTTAGTTTGCTTTATCCATTCAAAACCAGCTTTGATGTGTATTTGGTGTCATCTTCCAATTATCTTTAAATTTCAACCAACTGAGCCAAACTGTTTCCTTTCGGTGAAATTTATTAAATTCAGATATATAGAAACCTCCTGATTTTAAACCTGCCCTGAAAAGGAAAATCCTGGAACTGATGCATCACTCTTAGGAGCCCAAAAGAGTTTACATCGACTCAAAGGGCACCAACTGAGACAAAAACCTGCTGCTCCAGAATGAGACAAACATAAATGTCTTGGTAAGGCTTTCACACATTACCACAGCTAAAAAGATACCCATGGTACCATTTGCAGGGCAAAGGATTGGAGGAGGACGATAAGCAAGGGAGCAAGCAATTCATAGAAAAAACTAGTAGAATATCCAAGCAGAATCAGGCCACAATACAAAAACTTGCCTAAAAATAAGTAAAAACTACTTAAAATAAGTGCATTTGTCTTTAATTTGAGCAGGTAAATAAGATGCACTGCACTGCAAAAAAACAGAAATCTAAATAAGCACATTTTTCCTTGAATAGAGGAGTTAAGTGAGACACCTTGTGAATGGAACAAGACAATTTATATTTAAAATAAAAAAACACAAATGTCTAGTCTTATTTCAAGTGTATATTATCTAATTAATTTTTTTCTAGATTGTTTTTGCAGTGTGGAAAAACAATCTAGAAATAAGTAAAAATTGCTGAAATCAAGTGTATTTACCCTTAATTTGAGTAGGTAAATGAGATAGTTTGCCAATGGAATGAGTATTTTTACTCTTAAAATAAGATAATTAGATAACATAAAATTGAAACAACACAAAGCAATTGTGTTTTCTTATTTTAAATCTAAATTGTCTAGTTCCAATGGCAAAATGTCGCTTTTAACTCCTCGATCCAAGAACAAATGCGCTTATTTTAAGAGAAACTGACTTATCTACATTTAGATATTTTCCTGTGTGATATGCCAATAGAATATTTTCTCCTTTTAAATAAAATAATCACAGCAGTGAGGACCTGACCAGCTGAGACACAGAACTGAAGCTGCGCCCAGTTGGGTCAAGAAGCAAGTTTGATTCAGTTTTTAGATTTTATGTTTTTTTGTTGTTGGTGTTTTCTTGCTTTATCCTGCTTCAAGATAAGACTTCTGGCATCAGCAGCCTGAATGCTTTGAACTGAAGACTTTCTTCTGTTTAGGTCTTCAGTTCTATTCAAAGCTCAAAAATAGGGCGAGTATTTTTAAAAAATTATAGGCTGAAACATAGAGTTTAAACTTCACTGATCCGGCCAATACGATCAAACACTAACTGTAGTGCAGGCATGTCCAAAGCATTGTCCAGGGGCCGTTTGTGAACCCTCAGGATGACCCTGTGAGGCCCTTTAAGAGAACTCAAGCAAAGCATAAATATGGTTTACCAGTCTAGGCGGCCGATACAGACACTCTGCATCTTTATAAAATGCAAGGGTGCCAAGTTCACTGATCTGAGGCCTTAAAAAAAATCTATCAGGTCATGAATAAGTACCAGGTTTTTGTAATTTACAGTAAAAAGGATCATAAACATCCAGACTTCAAAAGAAATGCAGACAGAAAAATCCCAAAAGCTGGTCCTGATGCTAATCGTACAAAAACAAACAAAATGTAGACGAAATTGTAATAAACTTGAACATATTAGGACATTATTTGTTTTGCTTATATATTGATCTAATTTAAACAGACAAACCTGTGAGACTACTTATATTTTTCCCTTTGATTTGCTTGTGTCATTTAAATAGCTCACCGCTGAGCAGGAAAATGGGAATAAAATACTGTTTTTACCATTAGGATTAAAACAATTTTAATAATTAGTGGTCAGTGGTACCTAAATAGGTCAAATAAGACATTTTAATCCCCCCACTTTTGTAGTGAAACATAATCAGATCCATTCTTTGCAGCAGGAAGAAGAAGAGCTCAGACAAAAAAGGCTAAAATATAAAATTCTGAAGCCAAAGCTGCAGAATCTCTCCAGATTTGCAGCGAGATTTGAGTTTTTGGAGTTGATAGATAAATACCTGCCTGTGTCCCATTTGTGGATTTACATGCCGCCTTCCCTGCTGATCAGATACCCTTGTCTGGGTGCTGAGCACGATTATATTCAAAGTAGAAAAGCATAGGAAAAAAATGCCTTGATTGAGGCTGGAAATTCAAGCTGCTCATTCAAATGTACCTGAGGGAAATGGAAGATAAGATCGGCCTTGATATCCCTGCCAGGGACTACATTAAACCACAACTTCCTCATGAAGAACACATGGTAGGAAATGTTGACCGGCCCACCTGCAGCACAGACACAGAAAGGGGGTTTTAAGGTCACACATAGACGACTATTAAGTGTTTTACTTTTTGCATGAGGTGCAGATTACCTTCTTTGATCCTTTTGGCTCTCTTTGACCAGTCCGTGATTTGCCTCAGACTGTCAAAGAAGTAGTCTGCTTCATTTAAACCGAGAACCTGAGATTGAGTAGAGATGGTTAGGTTTCTTTTTCACGTCATTAGAAGGTTTAAAGATGCATAAAAAAATAAACAAAAGTCATTCTTAACATTTAAGGGGTAAGGAAACTCTATAAAAGATATGAAAGTTGCTCTTGATGCCTTTTATAAATTTTTATTGTTTAGAAAATTGAATTTCATTTGCAAAAAAAATCTAACATCTAAAACTGAGTAAAAATGTCTTAAAATAAGAGTATTAACTCCTAATTAGAGCAGGTTAATAAGATGATCAGCCAGTTGAATTAGTATTTTTACCCTTAAAATAAGATGACTGGATATTATACTCTTGAAATAAGAGACTGCAGTATTTTATTTTATTTTTTATGTTAAATGTAAATGTTCTTATTCCATTAGCAAAGTGTCTTACTTCACAGCTCAATTGCAGAAAAAAAGCTCTCATTGTAAGAAAAGTTTTGACAGTGCAACATTAATTTTAGTGGGAGCGAATTTGAAAAAACTTCTACCTGAAATCTAAAAAATAAAGTAAAGATGCTTTTTTATTTGTACATTTGCTCTTAGCTTGAGCAGTTAAATAAAATGAGATTATCTATTAAATGTTCTTTCCCTTGAACATTTGATATTAAGCACTTGGGATAAGATAACTGAGTTATTTTTTTCTCAAAGTAAATCATCTTATTCCATTATCAGCAGGTTGTCTCAGATACCTGCTCAAATAAAGGGAGAATACATTAATTGGAAGAAAAATTCACACAGTTTTATTTCCATTTTTAAAGCGTACACTGGAAAAACGATCTAGAAATAAGTAAACGTTTCTTAAATTAAGTGTATTTACTCTTAGTTTGAGTAGGTAAATGAAATTGTTTGCCAATGAAATTAGTATTTTTACTCTTAAAATAAGATAACTGGATAATATACACTTTAAATAAGACAATGCAATTGTGTTTTCTTATTGTAATTGTGAATGTGGTATGAGGACTTCTACTCTGGAGTTCTCTAAAGTATTAATTAGTTTCTCTATTCTTACAGATCATGTATTTGTCTTGATTGTCCCCTTTTTTAAAATGTGTAAAAAGCTGTGAAATAAATCAATCGTTTGATTTTCTTATAGAAAAAGAACCTGAGAATTTTTTTTTCAGGTGGTACAAGTAGTTAAAAAACTGCAAAACATGTCAATCTAACAGTCTTAGGGCTGGATCTATCAAAGGTTTGCGTGTATTAAAACGTGAGCTATCTCACTGCGCACGCTAAAAAATGTACAAACTGATCTATCAACAGCGTGCTAAAAGCATTTGGTCTTTAAAACGTGCTAAATAGCGCCTCTTATCCATTTAGTACTTTTTCTGCAATGAATATGCAATATGGGGCGTTTACACGCTAAAGTGCGTCTTGTGGGAGGAGAACATGTAAATATATTAATTTAGCACTCGCAAAGTGATTTATCAAAGCTGAAAGCAATTTTGCTAACGCTATCTGACTCTATATTTAACACGTTTCAAAAGAAGGTGCAAATGGTCTGTATGCGTAATTGCGCACACATGGCAGCGGTTATTATCGCAAGAAGGAGACATTGAAATAAAGCAAGGAGACGCAGAGAACGCATTTTTTTCACTCCGTGTGAATATTTTTGCAATGAACGAGGAAACGATCATCAAAACATATCGTTTATCCAGCATTGCCATTTTGGAGCTGTTGGGGGAACTCCGAATGGATTTGGAGCCAGCCACAAGGAGGATCCACGCAATACCAGATATCACAAAACTCCTTGCAACATTGCACTTTTTTTGCATCTGGGTCATTCCAGCGTATGGTTGCAGCGAGAGCTGGGACCTCCCAATCTCGTTTTTCCAGAAGTGCTGTCCGACGGGGTCGGGGTTCTCCCCCAGCGCCTGTGGAGCAACGTGCCAATGCTGCGGGGATCTCATCCACAGTCACAGGCCAATACAAAACACCTGTTTTTTTTTTTGTTTTTTTTTTTTTTTTACTGCAGCACATACCACCTTAGGGAATAAAGGTTGCCAATTTATATATATATAAAAAAAAAAAATATATATATATATATATATATATATATTTACTTACTTATTTATTTTTTTTGTTGGGGGTCACTGTAAGATTTAAATTTCTTAATGCACTAGTTTGTACAGACTACAAACTACTTTGCCGCAAACCACAAAACGCGCAAAACCATCATTTAAATAGGGCGTCTCCAACAGTTTTGCACCTTCCACCAGTTACGCAATCACTCTTGTTAAATCACCCGCAAACCATGGTTCAGCCCCTCGCGCAAAATTCCAGTTTGCGAGCGCAAATTACTGCACGCAAAATTGGATCTTGATAAATCCGGCCCTTAGTGTCTTACATCTAGCCAAAACATCTCTTTGATCTGGTTTTGAAAAGCCGATTTTGTTAGATTTTTCATCTTATTTTAAAAAGTTTAACTCAAAATATCAGAATCTACCGGAGCAGTAAGATAACTAAGACTTCTTGAAATCATGATATATATTCTAAAAATAGGAACTGTTTATTTTAAAGCTGTTTTACACATATGCAGTGAAAATGCTCATAAAAGATCTGAAAACGATTGCTGAACCTTGTCCTGTGTTTTCATAAAGAGGCTGAAGCCGTCGGCCGAAGCCAGTTGTAGCTTTTTGGAAATGGTCTGGATGAGATCCTTGATTCTGGTGCGGGTTGCGACTTCAAATACCTGGGCAGGGAGGGGATCAGTCAGTTTGGACAGTGAATTCAATAATGACTTTATCCTGGGTAGGAGCAGAGCTCCGCCCTGCGTACCTCATCTGTGTCGTTGGGGAAGTAGACTTTGTGAAGGATCTGGGTGCTGTTCTGTTGGATGGCCTCCACCTCCACCTGGTGCGGCGGAAGCTTCCTGGGATCCGACCTACACCAAAATTAGCAAAAGTTTAAACACATCCTTTTTTTCTTTCCATCTATGCAAAAAGTATCTGGTTTATTCACCTTTTTTTAAGATATCAGGGTGAAATTCCTACCTGAAGAAGTACAATGAGCTAAAAACTAAATCTAAGCACAAATTGCTGGTGACATCCTAGCAGACAGAAAAGGGTAAAGTTCTGCCAACCCCATGATTTGGGGTTTTGTCAGAAGTGTCTTTTTTGTTTAAGAAATAAATAAAAAAATTCTTGTTTATGTTCTTCATCTAAATATAGATCTATTTTTTAAGCAAAATTAGTTACCATTAAACTACACTGCAAAAACTGACATATAAATATCTCTGCTCCACTTTAAAGAATGGAATAATCATGAAAGCTGTGCAAGACCAAATTTCGTTTTGTATACATTCTGTGTATACAAAATGACAATAAAAGTTGTCTAAGTCTATTTTCCATAAAATAATTGCATTTTACCTTGATCTTAGCAGGTGAGAGACAATATATAGTAAGAATAAGATTATTTACTTTTAAAATAAGAACAAATAATAACTCCATTAATTATTTCCAATGCATAATATCTAGTTATATTAGTTAAAAGGGAAAACGGCCCTTCCTTTCACATATCATATAATTTTGCTGCTCAAATCAGGGGCAGATACATTCAAGAAATTGTTACTTTTTTAGATCACTTTATGCAGTGCACTGCAAAAATCACTCAGAAATAATTAGATATATCTAAAATTAAGTGTATTTACCCTTAATTTGAGTAGGTAAATAAGATAAGAAGATAAGAAGTATTTTTACTCTTATAATAAGAAAATTAGATAATATGTGATTGAAATAAGACAAAGTAATTGTTTTTTTCTTATTTTATATGTAAATCGTGTTGTTCAATTGGCAAAGTGTCTCACTTCCCTCTTAAATTCAATAGAAAAATGCACTTATTTTAAGCAAAAATGACTTATTTAGATTTCCATTGGATGATAGGGTTTCCTTTGCTTTTGTTGGTTGTTTCTTTATGGTCTGGTTTTGACTTAAAGAAACTGATTGTAAATTAGAAGTATATATAGGAGAGGGTAATGCAAATGCTGAGCTTGGCAGGCCTCCCTACTGCAAAGGCGATGCAAAGCATTCGCTTTCACAGCTCCGTCGGGTCATATCTTCGTTGTTGCAACAAGTTCTCCCTCACACCGCTTGTTGTATTCTCACTGACCACGGTGTGAAAAGGAAACACTTTATCTCAGCTTTGCAAGATAAACAGGGGATACCACAGCTGGACATTTCTTTCCTCTCATCACAGCAGACTCAATGATCAACAAAAGTCCTAAAAGCTGGTGACATTGGTCGCATATTTTTCTGTGCTGGTGGCACGGAGGGCCGGACGAACCTCAGCGAGCTCTGCAGCCGCTGCAGACAGTCGGAGGCCAGGGGCTCCCTGCGCCGAGACTCCAGGAATTTCTGAGTGTGCTTCAGTAGAGGCTGGCTGGGTGGAAACAGGCCACAGCAAAGCCAGAGCAGCTGCCAACCCTGTTCTATGCTGAACCTGCAGGGGCAAAGGAGGCGGTAGAACACATTGCTTTCTTAGTTCATGCTTGCTGCACAGTATCTGAGGACACTGTGTTATGCATTAGTGTTAATAATCCTTTACATTTTCCAGAAACATAATTTTTTAGGATTTTATACAAGAAGACAAAATAATGTAGAGCATGATTATGAAGTAAAAGGAAAACAAAACGAGGTTTTAAAAATGTTTTTAGAAACAAATACCTATTCATTTCCGTCTAATTCCCCCATCACTATACTTCATTGCATAACAACTTAAGCTCAATCAGATTTGAGGCAGACCGTCTCTGATCAGCAGTTTTCATGTCTTGCCACAGATTCCTTCTGGATTTAGATTTTTACTTTGACTAGGCCGTCATAACTGTAGCTCTGTCTGCATTTCAACTAATTCCAACATACTTTATGAGTTCATTTTACTCTTATTAACTACTTTCACTTAGTTTTGCACTTAAACTCCCCCAAAATGCACTGAGGTTTATGTTTAATGTAACAAAAATTAGAAAAGATAAAAAAATGAATATAATAGATCACTAAAAAAAAACATACTATGTACTGTTAGAAAATCTCTCTGGGGAGGATGGATGTTTGGATGCATTGGAAAAACAAATAAATCCCTCTGCTGTACCTGTTGTTATTGCTGGTCATCTGCTTCATGATCTGGCAGTAGATCTCATCCCTGAGCGCCTCAGATTGAGTGGGAGGACTGAAGATCTGGTCAGTGAGCTCCAGAGGACTCTGCATCTGCCTGGTGGGGTAATCTCCCATATACTTAAGGATTGGTAAGCAGAAGTCAAGGAGAAATGTGGAGAAGTATCATGATTTTAAGACCTTAAACAAGAGAGGTTATTTGACAGTTGCAAAAAAGGTAGATCTAAAGAAGTATTTTTCTTCTTAAAATAAGTGCATTTTTTCTTAAATTGAGGATTTAAGTGAGACACTTTGCCAATGGAACAAGACAATTTACATTTGAAATAAGAAAAAACAATTGTATTGTCTTATTTCAAGTGCATATTATCTAATTATCTTATTTTAAGAGTAAAAAACTCATTAAAAACTCATCAAAAACTGCATTGGCAAATCATCTCATTTACCTACTCAAATTAAGGTTAGATACACTCAATGTATTTATTCTTTTACTTATTTCTAGATAGTTTTTGCAGTGAGGCTGTTTTCCTCTAGTGACGAAAAAGCAGTTGAATCAATTTGTAACTACGCAGTCAGCTATGGGTGGAAAAACACTAAACAGCTGCTACTGGAGAGGGTACACACACTGGAAAAACAATCTAGAAATAAGTACAAATTTCTTATATTAGGTGTATTTACCTTTAATTTGAGTAGGAATATAAGATGATTTGCCAATTGAATAAGTATGTTTACCATTAAAATAGGATAATTAGATAATACTCACTTGAAATAAGTCAACACATTAAATTTTAAATGTAAATTGTCTTGTTCCATTGGAAAAGCGTCCAACTTAACTCCTCAATTTGAGTAAAAATGCACTTATATCAAGAAAAAATGACTTATTTAGATTAAAATGTTTTCCGGTGCACATAGAAACACTGAGTAACGTCTGGTGATTCAGCGCTTAAATATTACCACTGAAAAACTCTTGGAAAGACATTACTGTGACTCTTGGATCAGACAAGGCTTTGAAAATGTAGAAACCAGCTGTGTTTCCTACTTCTTCATTATGTGTGGCAAAGGAAACACGGATTGGACCAGAAAATCAGGCAGCGGGGAAAAGCTGAAAGGAATATATAAGCTGCAGATTGAGTTTGCAAATCTCATGTCTGTGTGGAATGTAGAGAATCAGAGAAAATCAGAGAGCCAAATGATCCCCCAGGACATTTGGAGGGAACTAAATAAAACTAGCAGCATTTAAGACCAACAGTCAGACACGGTGGTGGTAGTATGGTAACCTGGGACTGTTTTACAAGCATGGATGGCCCAATAAAATCATGAACTCAGGGGGTCTATTGGTTGAGGCAATAATATCATCTTAGGTTATGCAGCAGTGATTTAAAGCAGAGCTGATAGTCCATCTTGGAGGAGTGTAGGAGGATCCTTGATGCTTTCTGTTTCTTGTTCTTAATTAACAAATCATGGATCCTTTGGAAAATATTGCTAAGCAGGTGGTCCATGTTACTAACTGGTGTTAATTAGAAGCCCCTGGCGCATTCACACACTCAAAGACTAAAACCTTAACTTTAATCATAATTTTTTCAGCTTTGCAGAGGATATCAGTGAAGGCCATACAGGCTTTGTGGCTGAGATCTTGGGTGCCCAACAGTTTCATGTGGAGAGGCTGTCTGATTGGCTCTCTAGAGTGAGCCCACAGCCTCTCCGGTGCAGCGTTCCTAGAGATCACCTGACGGTTCACATCCTTGGTGGGTTGCCTGCAAGACAGACAGCTGATTAAAAACAGGTATTGCTGCTTTCATGCAGCAATCAACTTTCTGACCATCTTATGAAAAAAATGCACACAGTTGTAAAAAGTAAAGGCAACCTGAAATACTGAAGAGAATACTCTTTCAGCGTGGCAGGGGGTACTCTCTCCATAGTCCCCATATCTTTCTGGTTTGCCTGGACCAAGTCCTTCCTCTGGTTTGGAGACAAGTTGATAAAGCTCTTTGGAGAGAGAGAGAGAAAAACATTTAAACATTGATTGGAGTGGAGAGACATTAGACAAAGTTGTTCAGATGAAACCTCCTTACCAAGATTTCATTGCTAGGTCTGCTTAGCGTTGGTAGGATATGGATGGCCTCAGTGGAGACTGCTCCTGTTTTTTTGTTGCTGCTGTTTTGTCCTTTAATCCAGCCACGCTGCTTAGAAAACTCATCATCTTTGATAAGAATAATGAGCTCTCCTTTCTTAAAGCTTAGAATTGTAGGATCATCTGGAAGAGAGGAGTTGGTATTTAAAAAAAAAACAGGCATAAGCAGGTTTAAAAGTAATAACTTGATAAAGAGCTACAAGGGCTCTGACCCTGGCTGTTGACATCTTTTAGTGCCACGGCGTACACGGAACGCTCCGTCAATCCACTGAGGAACATGGTAGTCAGCTCAGCCATGTCTTCAACCGAAGCTCCGCTCAGGGTGAAATCTCCCTTCAGTGTCAGCAGACAGACCCTGGGGCCGGACGTCTTACCCTCCCTGTGGAGCAACAGCAGAGTGAAAAACACACAGTGACCAAAATAAGACTAGTCAGGTTAAAACCCAATGATGTTTCTCATCACAATAAAAACAGTATTTTAAAGAGTCTTCTAGTTGTTATCAGCTTGACCACATCTAGTGAAATAAGTCTAAGCTATTGTTATGTCTTCCAGCTGCTTTAAGCTTGGTACCGTATTTCATCTGTTTAATATTGTTATTTCGAAGTAAACAGGAAATAGTTTTATCGTTGCCCTTTTTGTGTGAATGAATCAACAGATATGTCCTCTATACAAGGCTAGCTGAAGCCTCTAATACCCCAATAAGGGAATGGTAATGTACTATGTCTTAAAAAATGAAACAATAAAAACATCAAAAACCATATATTCATGCTAAAATAAAACGATGCACATGTACATCCTGGTAGTGTTTACTTAGTCTTTTTTTTTAGCCTAAAAAAATGTTTTGCAGTGGGCGCGATCAGCTAATTGTTTTACGCCTCGCCACCTACTGCAGTGGAAAAAATGGAAATCTTGATAAATAATTTTTTTTTAAATAAGTTAATATGTTCTTAGATTGAGGAGGTAAAAGAGAAATTTCACCAATGGAACAAAACAATTTACACTTAAAATGAGCAAACACAGTTGCCTTATCTCTCTTAACTATCTAATTTACCCGCTCAAGTTAAGGGTAAATACAATTAATCCAAGAAAGTTTGACCGTCTTAATAACCTTAGCATCTTATATTTTTTGCCGCTTTTTTCACACTGGAAACTTGGAGATTTTCTCTTTGGCTACTGCCAGATCAGGCAAACTGGTGGCCAAAACGTAGATGCATCAGTGATTTATTTGTTTATTTTATTTTTTTGTCATAGTAAGCGATGATGAAAAGCTTTATAAATTATTAAAAAAAGAAGAGAAACAGAATAAAGTACAATTTTAAATTATGCCCCCTGGTGATTTTTTCAGTTTTCAGAAAACGCTTAGGGCCCCTTAGTGACCCCCTTGGTGACCCCTTGGTGACCCCCTGGTGACCCCCTGATGACCCCCTGATTTGCACACAGCATCATTGGTTTTAGTTCAAAGTCATTTATTTGCTAATCAAAGCCAAACTATGGAAAAATATTTATTTTGGCTCATGAGGAGAGAATGCTCAGATTTGCTGCTATGGATGGGTGTTCCTTTAACAGATTTTCTGGCAGTCGGCATTAGAAACTAAAACTGGACTATATTATAACACAGAATGACAAAAATGTCCATATGATTAGTTTAAACTGATTTAAGTATAAATTTGACGGGTTGTTTTAATTTTAGATGGCATTGGAAGTGAATGAGCCCCATTTGAAAAAAAAATTAATTTGATTTGATTGTTTAATACACAGTTTGAGATTTATGTAAGCTTGTTTTCTATCTGCAAAAACATGAAAACGATTATTTTTAAAGATCTATAAGGCGCTAGGCTTATATTAAAATTGTAGTATGAAAACCACAAGATACATTTAACCCCAAAACTATGCATACCCTTGGCAGATTTAAATTCATATTATCTTCATTCAATCAAGTCTAATTAATTATAACATTATCAATTTATTCACTTGGAAATCTTTATTGGGATAACACCAATCAAACCATTCACCAAAATGCTGAGCAGCTTTTTGGACGTGTCCACTGGTATTTTGAAATGTAGAACAATCTCCTCTCCATCACCCTAATCTTTGGCTCCTTTATTAAATCAACTTACAGTCAGATGATAACTTTTACATAAACTAAGACATGACTTCAATCTTAAATTTGCCAACAGTATGAATACATTTCTGATGAACAGTAGAGTGACCAAAACAAATTATAGATTCCTAAAAAAAATGCTTTGTTTTTATCTAACAAAGCGCCATGAGTTTTTTTTTTATATAATTATGCCCAGATTTAAATACAACAGTCCAAGCTTCTTCTATAATTTATTTCAACATGAGGAGCCTCTGTACCTTATAGTGTTGACACCCATAACCTCTGGGAAGGACAGCTCCATCAGCCTCTTTTCTCTCTCATCCAGGCAGGTGATACCGGTCCAGTTAATGGCCACTATGAACTTACTCTTTGGCACTGGACCTAGAAACATAGAAAACACATTCATGAGTGAGACCTCCTTAGGTCCTACCAAAACATGACAGGCAACTGCTTTACATAAAACACTTTTGGTCTTTTACTTATTTATTCAAACCAGTTATTAGAAACAAACAGCTTCGAAAAATTAGAGAAACAAGAATTGGGGAATTGGCAGTTTGAGCATCTGCTAAGGATTCTTCTGCCTTTTGGAACATGTTGGTGAGACTACATATCCTGTCTGGACTGAGACTGGCTTTGCAAAACCGATCTAGAAATAAGTAAAGATTTCTTCAAATAAATGTATTTACCCTTAATTTTAGTAGGTAAATAAGATGACTTGCAGATGGAATGGAATGAAAATTAGATCAAATGGACTTGAAATAAGACAATTTTTATTGTTTTTTTCCTATTTAAAAGGTGAATTGTCTTGTTCCATTGGCAAGGTGTCTCACTTACATACTCAATTCAAGAGAAAATGGACGTATTTTAAGAAAAGTTGCCTATTTTAATTTCAATTATTTGCAGTGCAAGATGAATTGTCATGAGATTTGTGAGAACACAAACTTCTGAAAATACTCTTGCCAGGAGTCGGCAGAAAACTTTGTCTCAATACAGAAATGTTTCAGACCAATGAAATAATAGTGATGTGTACAGTATGACCTCAACGCAACAACCAGAGGAAGAAAGCTGAAGCAAAACAAACATGGCTCCACCGGTTTTAGCTGGAATGCACTCTATTGCTTTTTTGAAAAACAGGCAAGAGGACATGATTTTTGCCTTTGCACTGCAAAAAATTGAAATCTAATTAAGTAATTTTTGCTTAAAATAATTGTTTTTTTTTCTTGAATTGAGCAGGTAAGTGAGACACTTTGCCAATAGAACAAGATAATTTGTATTTAAAACAAGAAAAAACTATTGCAGTGTCCTATTTTAGGTCAATAATATATAATTATCTTACTTTAGGAGTAAATATACTCATTCCATTGGCAAATCGTCTTATTTACCTACTGAAATTAAGGGTAAATACACTTCATTTTAGAAATTTTTTACTAATTTCTAGATTGTTTTTGCAGTATGTGTATGGGAAGCTATTCCTCACATTTCCCCCAAATTTAGCTTTTCACTGCAAAAACATTCTGAAAATGAGTAAAAATGGAATGACTATATTCACCCTTAAAATAACATAAGATGTTATGCACTTGAAATAAGAGACTGCAGTTTTATTCTTATTTTAAATGTTAATAAAATGTCGTCCCATTACATCGGTAACCTGCTCGATTAAAGAAAAAATGTACTTATTAGAAGACGAAATTACTTACTTAGATGTACATTTTTGCAGTGCTACTGCTGTTGTGATTGGCTAAAAACTCTACATAGCAGGCAGATACCCAATCAGCTTGAAGAATTGTATTGAATGTCCCTCACTTTTGCAAACACTTTCTACAGGAGCCTTCCCAGATCCATATGTGTAGATCAATTTGTATTATATATGGTATCAATCTGGTTTATGCCAGGAAATTACAGCCTGCGAATTTTTCAGAATCAGCTTGGTTCCCATATTTCAAACCTATACAAATTTTTCTCTTATCCATACATAAAAATAAAAAAATAGAATTGAATAGATGTTTAGTTATATGCACCTTAATATATAGACACTAATTTATGGCCATGTTTTAATTATCTGACCCAATATTTTTTATTGGTCAAAAGCGAGCATTTTTATAAGGCAAGATAAAAACATATATATATATATTTATATATATATATATATATATATATATATATATATATATATATATATATATATATATATATATATATATATATATATATATATATATATATATATATATATATATATATATATATATATATATATATATAATATCGCTATATATATATATATTTATAAAATAATTAAGTTAGCAAAATATCCAATCTGAAAAACATGCAAAGTTTATCTCAAATGCTTTTTTAAAATTAGGTATTTTCTTCCCCCCTAATGTCAGTTTACAAAATGTGTTTTCCAAATTCACTTCATACAAAGGCAGGAGTTACCAGACTTTTTTAAGCTGCTGCCCCCAAAACAGCATTGACCATTGGCCAAGGACACCCTTAACAAACTTTTTTTAAATCTATATTCTTATTACTTTTGTTTTAGCATAGAAACTTTAACTAACATGTTTTCAACACTGTACTTTATTCCCATTTTTCTGAGGCCTTGCTAGCGCCCACTGGTGGCTGTTACTACAACGAAAACCAATTTACGAAGAGAGCACCATTGGGGGTGTATGTATATATGTGAGCCCTGTTGTCTTAACGGGTACAACAGGATACTGAATAATTGCAAGTCATTTATAAGGATGGGAAGTTTACATTATCAAGAAGATGATATCATTCCACAAGAAAACTAAATGTGTTGAGAATGAAAACATGTAAGAATAAAGAAGCTGGAAACATGAACAGCATTAAATTCAAAGCAACAGACAGAGGTCACATGACAAGCTAGACTTAAGGAAGTTAAACTTGTAAGATATTACTTTCACTTTGAAGTCAAGCCCACTTTCTCAATTCTATAAACTAAGGGACACTCAGTGCTCTGCAGAAGGAACAAGACTGATGTTCACTTTAACTGGTCCCTATTAACAGACCTTTAAAGGAGAAAAACAACTACAATATGCACCCTCTAGGCAAGGACATAATTAGAGCATAAAAGCTTACATTTTTATAACTTCTCAAAGCGCTATAACCTTTGTAGGACATTTTATTGCACCATCTTATCTGTGAAGGCTACTTTTATTGGGGTTGTATTGAAATAAGGAAACCAGGATCCTTATTAAAGCTCATTTTTAAACATGCAGAGCAAAGGTTGTCCTACCTGACAGTTTGGTAACTTCATAGAACCTGGAGAAGAACATGGGCCACTTATCCCTAGCATAGTCCACCATCTCTGCCTTCACCAGCTCTGGTTTTTGTTTGTTATTCAGGAAGGAACTCTGGATTGAATCAGAAATGATAGAATAAACATTTATTTTCTCATTTTTTTTGTTTGTTATTTTTGAAGGTTTGTTTTGTCTAATCATAAGATCCCAACCTGAGCGTGAGCCGTGTGGATCATCTGAACCAGCTTGGCCTCTGATTTGGCCTCAATAAGGGAGTTCTTGATGCAGTCCCTCACGGTCTCTTTGACATTCTCAGGACGATTGTCGGAGCCATGTTGGATGTACAGATGCTTAGCAGCCAGCTGGATGAGATCATCCTCCTGTGGAAAGGTTTGTTTGAAAAAAAAAATCTTAGTTCTGAAGCAAAAAAAAAAAGGGATAAACTTGTACAAGTCTCCATATTGTCATCATGGTAAATGGTAAATGGCATGTACTTATATAGCGCCTTTATTCAAGTTAGGAGACTTGACCAAAGCTCTTTACACTAAATTCATTCACCCATTCACCCACACACTCACACCCTGATGGTGGCAAGCTACATTGTAGCCACAGCTGCCCTGGTGCTCACTGACAGAAGCGGGGCTGCCGTACACTGGCGCCACCGGGCCCTCTGACCACCATCAGTAGACAATGCAGGTGAAGTGTCTTGCCCAAGGACACAACGACACCGAAAGTCGGAGTCGGGGCTTGAACGGACAACCCTTCGATTTCAGGGCAAACTCCTACATCCAACGCCACTGTCGCCCCATCATCAGCATGGATGCCAAATTCTTTGAGTTAACAAATTAAATATACAGAGACAATTATTTTCCTTGTGCTTAATGATTCATAACTCTGCTAGACTTATAAATCAATGGCAAAGACAGCTTGAATTTTATGGTCCAGCCACAAAGGTAAGCGTTTAATAACACCTGGTAAGTGAGTAAATTATCAGTTATAATAATTTAAGTGAAGATAATTACTTGGATTTTCCATTGATTAGAATGACATATTACCTAACTAAACTCCCTGTTCCAGTTAATAATATATTCATAATCTTGTGCTAAAATTGCACAATACGCTCCAACAGTAAGCTACTGGAATGAACTTAATCCCTATTTACCAATCCACATATCTGTTACTTCAGACAGTTCAGCTACAAGCTACTCTCTCTAACTTCCTGTCCTTCTATTTTCCATATGTATATCAACATTTGGGGGGAAAATGCATCTTTGTACTCTGTCTTGTCAACATGGAATACTCTACAGGTGGATCCAACCCTATCCACAGTGATTTTGCTAAAACAATTTAAATGTCTTTTTAAATCCTCTTTTGTTATTTGCCCTTTTTTAAATCAAACTAGTATTAACTTATCTAATAGAGTCAGATTTGTTTATTACTTGTTACGTTTTTTTTTAAACAGCTCTCTTTTGAAAATAAGGTTTATAGATCTATATTTAATTATAAAACTTCATTGAAAATGTTTTTACTGTATTTAAATGTCAAAGCTGTGTCGTATAAAACAAAAACAAAGAAAAAAAATATTAAATGCATTCTGGCATTTCTAACCAAGAGCATAGATTCAATCTTAAGCTGTCATCAATTAAATATAAAGGCTAAAATAAGTGTGCTTATATATGTGGGTATATTTATTTAAGCTTGTATGTTGGATTTATTATTATGTAGCTTCAACAAAATCTACAACACATGTAAACCTGCACACCTAATTCTTTTTATATATATTTTATAACAGTATGATATAACAGTGTTATTACATACTGTTATAACAGTAACTCCAGAAAACAATGTAAAGCCTGAAATAAAAATAAAATCACTTCCTGTATACTTCTGGCCAGCGTTGTAGATGTTACGACAGAGCTCACCTTGTGAGTCTGGTACTCTCCATACTTCAGACCGTGGATGATCTGTCTGTAGATGAGGTCAGTGCTGATCTTGTCCTCTTTGCAGCTGTGCCACGGGGTGAAGACCTCCTTACGGAAGATGAGACGCCATGGAGCGTGCTGCTCCTGGCCTCCCCTCCTCTTCACCTCCTGCTCACACTGTGAAATGGCATCCATCACGTGCTCCCGGCCGCTCCCCAGGGCCCAAACCTTTGACACGAAACATCGGAAAATGTAAAAGTGTATCATCTATATAGCAGTTTTACAGAAGTGAAACAAAGCTCTTACCTTTTCGTACATAGCTACATAGAGGGAAAAGCCAAAAGTGTCCCTGAGCTTGATTTTGTTGGAGACGAGCTGGCAAACTTCTCTTGACGTAGACGCCGAGTCCACGGGAAGGTTAATGGCTCTTCCATCCAGCAGCGCCACGTTCACTAACATGCGCTTCTTCGTCTTGGTTGCCTGTGAGAGTGCAGAGAAAGGGCCCATGGAAATAAATTATCAAATACAAATGATCTAAAATCTTTGATGACAACAAAACATGCATGGTTTTCAGGTTCATAATAAATTGCCCAGAAGTTTGTTTTTTTGAACATATATATATTTTATTAATAAAAACATGTAGGCATCAAGGAAACTTTGCAGCCTAAAGGAAATATATTCATGTCAGGGGATAGTCTTGTATTCAGACTTAAAAAAAAATAAAAAATACTTGTAAACTAACGCAGATAGAAGTATATTTGCAATAGGATAAAAAACAAAAAAAAAAATCCTGGGGCGTACAGGTGGCGCAGTTAGTGAGCATGGCCCATGTACGGAGGCCTTAGCGCGGCTGACCCGGGTTCAAATCCAACCTATGGCCCTTGGCTGTATGTCTCTGTCAGAACAATGAGCCACTAGTGCTGTGAAAAAAAAAAAAGCAACAACAAAAAAAAAAAAAAAAAAAGAAAACCAAATCATGAAACTCCACTATCGTGCTTACTTTGTTTGCCTTAAAGTCTCAAATTAATTCACTGCAGGATTTTATTGTTCCTAAAATTAAACTTTTCAATTTAGGGATGTTTTTTTCCCCATTAAAGTCTTGAGTTATGCCCAAACGGTCTAATGCTACGCTCACACCTCACGTAATTTCAGCAGCAAAAAAAGGGCCTGCTGCTGCTTCATTTTTGATGCTTGTACATTAAGATCTGACGGGCCACAAAGGCATCATTGATGCTCCAGTAAAGTGTATCCAGAGGCGTCTGATGCTTCTGCTGCTCCTGTGTTCAATGGCAGAGGGTGTTGTGACTCTGCACTTTTTGGTTCTGTTTAACTTTTTTTTTTTGAGTTTTCAGTTTCATTTATGTCTTTCAGTGTTTTCTAGTGCATTGGTTTCAGTTCTATTTTGTGTTATTCTAGTTATTTTGATTGTATTTGAGCTCTTAAGTATTGTTTGCCTTTAGCTGCCCTCTTGTGTCAGTCTCTTTTTCCCTAGCTCCCTTCTAGACTCCTCTGTCCACACCTGCTCCCAATCTGCTGATTAGCCCGGTCCTTGTTCAGTCTCCCATTTATACACCTCATGTTCAGTCACTTTGTGCTGGTTCCTCATTGTTATTAGTTGCTTCTTTGTCTCTGGCTCCCCACGTGAGTTTTCCCTAATATTTTCTGTTTTTTTGTATTTTGTATTTTCTGATGTCTGCCTCAGTTTCTCCTTTAAAGTAACAAGAACCCAACTCTCTTTCACTCATCTCTGCATCTGGGTCATCAAGCAACCTCACCCCCCTAGTTGACAGAGAGTGGCTTTGCTATATTTGAAGTAGCTAAAAAGTAGTTATAATATATTTTTAAGCGAAAAAGTCCACCTCAAAAACATCGTCTGTGCAGTCAGTTCATTAAGATTTCGATCCTGTCTTAAAATGCTGTCGGAGGCATTCAGATCCCCACATACCGGCGGTGATCTGATACTGGGAATCCCCAGCAGCAGTACAAACTGCAGGCACCAGGATAATAAAAGTAAACATATCTTGCCAGTAGGTTTTGAAATTTTAAGTTAATTTAGGCATTGAACTGTTTCAGAGGAGTGATGATCACGAGCTGCATCTGCAGTGCTGTGTCTGTCTCACTCCCAGCTCCCAGATCAGCTTCTCTGACTGGTTAATGTGGCACATTGAGCAAAAAAAATTACATTTTTCCAACACCAGCAGCTGCTGCTTGTGGAGCGCATCAGATGCTCAGAGGCTCATGGGGATGCTAGGCTGCTCTACATGCACTGAAGGACCTTTTGATGCGCCTTGGTGTGCATCAACCATAGACTTTGCATGTAAACCTGCAGCTTCTTCTTCAATCATGTGCAGTGTGAACGCAGTAGTTGAAGATAAAACCAGTAATCAGTGGTAATGTTGTTGATGAAGAATGATAGGGTTCTCATAAAAGACATTACTTTTCCTCATGACCTCAAGAAGAAAGTGGAAAAATATGATAAATAAACAAACATATAAAATATAAGGAGATGTTATACTGTTAGATCTAAATTTAGTTGGGCGGAAAGCAAATGTGACCAATTGAGGTTCTACATTCTGGAGTGGAGACACAAGTGTCAATTAACTACGTACGTATACATACATAGTTTCTGTACTTTACTGTTTATTATTCTGAGGACTTTTTACTTTTGCTTCCTGCATTTGAACATAAATATCTATATGCTCTACTCCTTACTTTCACAGAACTGGCTTTTAACTTCTACAGTAAATATTGATAACAAAATGACCTTACCGCCATAGCATAACAGAGAAAATATGAAGTGCAAGAACAAAATCTATCCAGTTGTTTTTTTTACAGAAAACCACTGATAGTTACAGAGGGCTGACAACACTGCAGATAAATAATAATACCCTGAGATGTTCCTCATCTATTCCCTCTTTTTTAGATCATGTTTATGTTTTAAGCTTTGTTTCAATGTTTGATGCTGTTTGCAACTTTAATGCTGTAAATACAAAAGCTCTAAAGCATTCAACTGCTTATGTAGAATGTCTGCTAAATTCCATCTATATTATCTTCTCTGAATTTTTTTATTGAAAAAAAAAATATTCTCACACCAAAGGAGTCAGCAAAAGAGTAATTGTGACCTACTTCCAGTTCATATAACTGTTGTTTTAGGCATAGGGCAGGCATCCCCAAACTCGGTCCTCAAGGCCCCCTGTCCTGCAGGTTTTAGAGGTTTTCCTGCTTCAGCACAGCTGGTTATTATGATTGCAGTAGACCAAAAGCCTGTTAATCAGCTTTCAATCAAAATCAGCTGTGCTGGAGCAAGGAAACCTCTAAAACCTGCAGGACAGGAGGCCTTGAGGACCGAGTTTTAGGGATGCCTGGTATAGGGTATTTAAAAGGTATTTTGTATCATTTAATCTACAAACTTGATATTACTTTTATTAGAACAAATACTGTTACCGTTTAGCCACTAGGGTCGCTAGATCTGTAACTTAAATGTTTAGCCACCCATGAAAGCAAATGGCAACACATCAGTGTCTCAAAATTAAGCAGAATCCCTCAGTTTTTGGGAAAACGATAGCCCACTTAGCTATATACTATTTAGTACTACTGTCTTCTTTGTTTGACACCTCTGCATGCAGGTATGCTGCCTTTAAAACCCTGCAGAGAAACACATATCAGTACCTGCAGTTCGAGCCAGGCCGGAGGCTCCCCTCTCGCTCCGTTCATCAAGGTACGCCGCAGCCGCTCAGCCAGGTAGGATGGGAATCCCCCAGGAGCAAAACGGATAAAACTTTGAAGGTACTGCCAATAAAAGAGACAGAGCGCAAATTAAATATTCTGCTTTCACCATTTGTAACAGTGAGGTATTCAGCATGCTCACATCATTACCTTCAAAAAGAGCTGACTGGGAGGAAAGACACCCAGACAGAGGGAGAGCAGGATCCACCCGCGGAAGTAGCTGTTCCGGTTGCTGTTTTCATGAAGCTGTTTGCAGATCTGACAGTAGATCTCGTCTCTGGGGAGAAGAACAGTATTTCAGCAGCGTTTCAGAAAAGAACGTGGTAAGTCAAACATGCTGGAATTGATAAAAGAAGACAGTTTAAACCTGAGATCAGGCCTGATGATGCCATATCCCACAATGTAGTGGACTTTTTCCAGAGATGTCAGAGGCCTGTCTAGGGTGAGTTCTTCTCTTGCCATCACATCTCCATTCTCACTCACAGTTTGCAGCGTTGAGGGTGATGACAATTCAGATATATTATCTGACTGTAAAAGATGGAGAAGAATTGGATTTGTGAGCTGATGTCATCTGTCAGATTAAATCTCTCCCAGCCTTTCCCCCTTACCTCCTCCGTGATGATGGACGGCTTCCTTAAGTTTTCTCTACCAGGAGGGACCTTCTTGTTTTTGGACAGCATGTCAGTGAAGGTGGAGCCTTTCCTTGCTCGCGGGTTACCTTCAGGTGCAGTGTAGGACTTCAGGTTTGGAGACATATCGTTGGGCATGGCAGAGGGTTTCCTGTTTTTCGACAGAAGGTCTGTGAAAATCGACCCTTTTCTCTTTTCTGAGTCATCTGAAACTACAGAGGGCGTGGCCTCTTTGTTCTTCCTCAGCACTCTCTGGAATAAAGCATATTTAAAAATGTTATTAGGAAAACAAAACTTTCTTAAGACTTTCCCAAAGTTTTGTCATTGCTGGAAGTAAACGTACCTGATCCAGGCCCACCATGTGGCTCAGACGTCTGTCCTGCCCAGAGAGCAGATCCTGAGGCACCATCCGCTGATGGGCATATCCTCTATTCTGTCTCTTGGGTTCCGGGAGGTCTCCCAGAAATCTCAGGATGATCCACCACACCGTCAGCGAGGCCTGGTGAGAACACAGCAAACCCCAGTGTTTTTGAAACAAATTGGTTTGAGGGAAAAACCTATGAAATTAAAAAATGTTAGGTTCACAGATCAGCACCAGAACATCTCCTTCATCCTCGTGGTAGAGCAGAGGCTGCTGAAGCCTCTGCCGGATGTGGCTGTGCGTGGCTGCTCCCTGGAAGTGAATGGAGGCGAACTTGGTGAAGGAGTACTGATCCAAGTCATCATAGTCTTCCTCGGGAGGTTCTGGCTCCAAGGGAAGCTCATCGATGTCTATCTCCTCAATTACAGTCCTTTTTCCTTCAATGTTCTGTAAACACATAAGAGTCATGATGAAACTAACCCACTGATCTAAGGACAAAGCAACACATGTGTCTGTTTCTGAACCTCTAATCCAACAGGAGCCTGGCCCTCCTGGCCTCCAATGATAATATTGGGCAGGAAGCCAAAGATGTTGTCCACCATCTCCTGGTCACTGATGTTTTCAGACTGCTGCCTGGCCTCCATCTCTCTCTTCTGCCTCAGCACTTCCTCCAAATGTCTCTGTTTGGCCAGCAGGGCACGTTGTTCCTCCTCCCTCTCTTTAGCAGAGAGGTACATCTAAAAGAAGAGGGACAAACAGGATCAGTTGACAGATTAAACAAACTGTTGTCCTTTATTGCCACATCTCCAAAGCAAGCATAGGTGGATGGGGACTTAAAAACCAAAACCAAAGAAATGATGGTTACATTTTAGATATGCATGCAGGGGACAGCATGATGGGGTAACGGTCCTGTGAGTTCACTCAACCCTTATTCTGGTTGAATACAGGACCCGTCTGATTGCAGAATTGGTGGAGGTTCAATTGTTTGGTCTCAAGGGAATTGATTAGATTCTGATCAGATTGAAGAACCTTGAAGTAATTCTTCCTTTTTATTAATCTATTTAGGCAGGACACCGTCGACCACGGCCATCGTGACAGACCATCACCTTGATCCTTCTACCACAATACCACATAGTACTGCGAGAAATGGATCCAAAAATGAACTTAATTTGACCGGGTAAAGGGTTAGTGTTAGGTAAATAAGATGATCTGTCAATAGAACGAAGACTTTAGACCTTAAAATAAGACAATGATATAATAGGGATGGAACGGTTTATGAAAACCGTCCGAACCGTTCGGTTCGACTGTCTCGGTTCGGTTTGCGCATGTTGCGTTCGGTTCATGCGCTGCTCCTTTTTCTCATAGGCGAAGCGTGTACACTCCAGAGCAGAAGGTGGCGGTAATGCGACCAAAGCCAACCACCAGTAGTAAACAAGAAGAAGAGGAAGCGAAGCAGCGTAGCCGGGTGTAGCAGAAAAAAATCAGTTGTTGTGGAGAATTGTGTTGGTATGGCGATTGGGAAAGAACAGGAGTTGGAAGACGCGCCAGCAGCACTTTATAGGTCTGCTGTATGGGACCGCTTTGCATTTAGAGTGACCTACGATGACGGCGGAAAGAAAGATGTGGATAAAAGTGCAGCAGTGTGCAAGCATTGTGCAACACGTTTTGTTTATGCTAAAAGCAACATGACCAACACGTCATGCTAACCCCGAAATCCCTCATACTCCGTCAGCGCTCCGCCCCACCCAGCTGCGCTCCAGACCGCCTGCACATAGCAAAGCCTACAGCCTCCGCTGTGGCTCCCGTCCGCTCCGCTCAGAGTTCCTTGGAGATCATAGAGGGCATGGCGAGATGATTAAAGTCAAAGCAGCAAAACATGTGAAAATGAACCATGGTTTCCGCGGATCATTAAAAATAATTACAATTCATTAATTTCTTTGGATTTTTTTCATTAATTTCATACATTTTTATTTTTTAATAAATTTTTATAATTTTTATTAATTTTTTTATTTTTCGGTGTAACAATAAACATATACCGAACTGAACCGAAAACCGTGACCACGAAACCGTGAACCGAACCGAACCGAACCGTGGATTTTGTGAACCGTTCCACCTCTATTATATATATAATATAAAAGAATAAGGCACCGTATTCCACTGGCAAATTGTAATACTACCTGCCCAATGCAAGGTAAAGTACAAGTTTAAAAAAAAAAAGACTTTTATTTCATTTTTTGTAATGAGCTTATGAGTTACAAACATGCGTCTAGTGACCAAGACTTAAATCTTGACTGTTTCTTTTCTCCAAAAGGTATTGGGCTTGTCTTTGTGGGTGGGTACAAATTTATGTCCATCGTGAAGATGCTTCGTCCTGCAAGTCCACTGTGATGTAAACCTTAATTTATCGTGGACAGGGACACAATTCTCATTGATTCATTCTGCTCATCTGGACTAATACCTTCTTGTCCAATCGAGGGATTTAAATGTTCTCCATGTGTTTGTGAAGTTTTAAACTACCAGGGTGACTTCTAGTTATGTGCAATTATCTTAGAATTTGAAGTTGCCTTCCAATTTAATGTAAAACCACAATTTCCCCTTAATGAGTTTTGTTTTTCTTATTGTTCAGAAAACTGGTCAGTCCAGTTAATGTTGTCAAAGTAATGTGCTTGGAGTTACACGATAGGTTAGTCGACATGAACTTACATCTCTCTGCATCTTTTGGAGTTTTCTTTTTGCCAGCATGGACCTGGTGTGCGCCTGCAGCAGGATCACGGCATTTCTCTTGCGTTTCCACTCCTTTCTGGCCAGGTAACCTCTTATGTGGGTCTGCAGCACCAAAGCAGCCTGCCGCTTCTTCAGGTAGCTGAGGTGGAGCTGGCGAGACCGAGAGAGTGCCTGCAGCCTGGCAAAGCCCAGCTGCACCTAAAAACGGCAACATCAATCGAGGTTTAAGCCTGTTACGTTATGTTTCTGTATACATCAGCTAACAGAGATATGGCCGACGTTAACCCACCGCTTTGAACTGCTTCCTGCCTTTGTATCCTCGCCAGTTTTTCTGAATGACAATGGCAGCGGATCTTTTCCTCAGGAATTCTCTCCTTTAAAGGGAATGACCCAGACACACATGAAATTATAGGTACGATGAAAACACTCCAACAAAACCCTTATTAATCTGAATACATTTTCTCCCATACCTGTATTTGTAGCCCTTCAGGACTCTTTGGATCACAAGAGCCTTAACATGTAACTCTTTCATTCGCTCCAGTTCAAGCGTTGTGTCATGGAAGTCCTACGAGAAAAACAGCATTTGATATGAGCAATAGATCTCTGCCCACGAGGAAGGTCCCAAACATTTTCTATTGCCTATGTGCAAGTCTGTTCAATGAGAAATTAAAGAAAATACTGCTGAACACTTGTGGTAACTGATAATGCAGAGATTAGTGTTTGATTTTCAGCCTATAATCACAAACTGAAAGAAACAAAAGGTCAAATTTAATGTCTTCAGCACATTCACCATCTCTAGATGAGTGTTAAATATATTGCTGGGCAGACATCAATTGATCATTCAGCTCTAGTTACTTCAAACACAGTCAAACACAACGGAGGTTAAAAAAGTGGTGGTCACACTGTAAAAAATGTAAATCTAGATAAGTCATTTTTCCTTAAAATAAGTGCATTTCTTCTTGAATTGTCATTCTAAAAGAGACCTTTTGACGATGGAACAAGACAATTTAGATATAAAATAGAAAACACAATTGCATTGTCTTATTTCAAGTGCATATTATCGAATTATCTTGTTTTAAGAGTAAAAATACTCATTCCATTGGGAAAAGATCTCTTTTACCTATTCAAATTGTTAGGTTTATTCTTTATACATAATGTGCATTTTTACTTTGTTAGCCAGATTAGATGGAGTAGAAGGCCTTCCTTCACATTGTGGATGTCACTGTGTGTACGGAGGCCATCTAATCAGGACAGCCTTCGTGTCTTTAAAAATACACAGGATATGGGCACATCTTGGAGCCGGACTGATAAAGGAGAGCTATGTGTAATCCTGGGGTAAAGAGGCAAGATGCATGAAGTTCAAGGCATGGATGGCGTGTCAGTTTCTGATACGGACAGCTGAGCATCCACCTCATGCAAAACATGGACTCATGAGGTATAAGAAGGAGGATAAAACCTTGTTCGGGGTTTAATCTTTGCTCAGTCTTTGCCGAACGCTTGCTGACGTTATTTAAGCCCACAGCTGTGCCGACTCCAAGCAATTTCTCTGTCCTGTAACAACCTGATCTGGAATAAACTCTGTTACTTTTTTACTCCTGTTTTTATAGTCCTTTTTTATATGGTTTTACCCAGTTTGAGTTAAGAGTAGTAAATAACTTGCTCCCAGGAAAAGAACCGGTAGGGAAGTTCTGAGGCGCAGCCGCCTTCAAGGGGACATAACTTCCATATTAACAAAATCAAAGGTAAATACACTTAATTCAAGCAATTTTTTACTTATTTCCAGATTATTTTTCCAGTGCAATTTTATCTACCTCTGAGCTTTAAGCAAAACTTGTTCCACAAACAGCTAAAAAATAGTTTATGCCATACATCGTAGATGTCATTATCAAAGGCTCAGCCATAGGCAGAAGGAGTCCTACAATAGAAATTAACAGATTCTGTTCGATGGAGTAAAAGTGTGCTTAGCTTTGGCTAAATTATGCCAGAAGAAAATGCACTGGTACAATGAATGGCTCACAAAAACCATTGTGGATTAAATACACTTTCATTGCTTCAGCCTAACTAAGAAACAGTTATGTATATTAAAGATGTTAATAAATACTAACTTCAGGTAGCCTATCAGTTTTCAACATGAATTCCATGGTGTGTTTTTTACTTTTTGTAAGGCAAGATATTGTTCTATCTCTTACATTTGAACAGGTACCAATAGTTTGCGTTTAGACCTAATTAAAGTGGAGGTGTTCTATAATACTTTATTAGTGTATTTTTAGGAAGTCAATCCTTTCTAAATACCATCTGGGCTTTAAAAGTTACATATATCTTTCTTTTATATGTGAAAATGTGAAAAAAAGGGGAAGCCTTTGACCTCCCATCCATCTATATGGATCACCTTTAGGAATATCTTCGTCTTGCCCGTCTTCCAGTCGCCATCTCCGGTAAGAACTCTTCTACAAATGCTTTCACAGCATTGTTCTTTGCTTTCCTGTTTACAGCAGAGAGGTTGTCTTGAGAAAAAGGTCAAACATTCTGGAGAAAAAAAATGCTCAAAAAGATAGAATTATAGGGAAAATTTCTCACGGTGTTGGGATCACAGACTGAGGTCCTCAGAAGGACACGGTAGCGGTTTAAGAAGTCGCTGAAGGTGTATCGGACAGGATAACCGGCCTTCCTGATCTTGATTGTCTCCATCATGCCGGAGTAACGCAGCTGTCGTACACACAGGTCTCTGTCGAACAGCTGACACAAAGATTGGTTTTACTAACAGCTTCAGGTATTTGCTTTCAGACTGAGTGCACGGTCGCCCTGCTCACCATGGGCTTCTTATAGTCATTGGGTTTGATGCAGCGGATGAAGTAAGGCTGGCATGCAGTCAGCGTCTTCATCAGCGAATCCAGAGACTGACGGAACTGGGCGGACAGAGTCGGCACGCGCTTCTTGCCATCAGACGAGGGCTGTAAGGCAGAAGAAGAGGTCACACAAGCAAAATACATTTACAGATCTTAGCTACGGACAAGGAGGCTGGGTTTACCCGCATGTTTTTAGGCTTGTTAATGGTCATTCTGGGGTTGACACTTTTTTCTGTGTCTGAGCTGGCTCCCAGCTCAGCACTGAAGGTCTGCCTGAGGAGTTTATTGCTTGAAGTGTCCACCAGTTGGATCAGGTCCAGACTTAGAGTGTCACGGTTCTTCTCAAGGAAACCTGAAAAGGATCATGGATACTTTCAAAACATTGTTCACTTTCTATAACAACACCAAGTTTAAAAAATACCCGCAGACATAAAATATCTTAATTTTGTCTGTTTGGCTTTAGACGCTTCAATGATGCATTTCATTTTAACAGAAATCTTCAAAGTAAAGCTAATACTAGTTAGCAAATTCCTCCCCTGAGCCAGGAGAAGCGAGTGCTTCAGGAGCTGGAGGCAGTAGTAGCAGCTCAACAACAACTAATGGGTGGAGGCCAAGGCAACAGGCCCCTAATGCTCCAGCATCAGATCCTCTTCCACCAGGGGAAAAATTTGGATACAAAGATCCTATCCAGATCCGTCTGACATCGCTACTGCTTGCCTTGTCAAGGCTGCACTTTGAAGAAAGAGATTGTCTAGAGAGCTGTTCTGAATTAATTTTCTTTTTGTTTAGACTTGTGTATACAAAATGACAAAACAAATGTATCTAAGTCTAAATTATTTGTTGTTTTGAATCTGCTGACCTTTTGAATCGTAGTCAACCCTTCCAGCAAAGTGTTGAATTCCAAATTTTGTTTCATGGTCATTTTTAGGGGGGATGTAGACTGTTCCTTTGCTGTGAATCTGATTCAACTTCAACAGCATGGAGGTGTCGGTACCCTAAAAAAAATAAACCAGAGTCCGAAATGAAAGCTTGCTCTGCTCGTCCACATCCAGGATCTGTAAACCGTAGAAAGGACAAAGACCTTTGGGAAGTTGCTCTCCTCGTCGATAAGAGCCAACACATTCAAAGGTTTGGTGGCCAGAATGTCCAGCGTGCTCTGGTTGTCCTGGTAGTCAATGTGCGTCCAGAGGATGTTCTCACGGGTATACTCATCCTGTTCAAGCTTGAAAACATGCTTGACGAAGAACTGCTGCAGCTGCTCGTTGGCGAAGTTGATGCAGAGCTGCTCAAAACTGTCAGGCAAACCACAGAAACATTTAGCTGATATGCTCATTACATTTGATTGCTAAACAAATAACCAAACAGTCCTATAAAAGTCCCCTAATGTCTGCTAGCTATTAGCTCCATTGTCTTAATAAACAAAAGCTGAAGAAGCTAAAGGCTCCCTAACCTATCAGCTGTTCCTCAGAAAAGCGAAGCCAAGCAGATCCTTCAATAAAATATAATTTTACCAAATTATGTTTCGTGTACGTCTTGGATTTGCATTGTGAATTGCTTTGAACACATTCTTGTTGCTTTAAAATAGTTAAAAGCTAAGCTCCTGTGTGTACACAGTAGCTCAGTTCCACTTGTTCAAGAGTTTTTAAGTGAAAAATGTTTGACTTGGAGTTTAATTATTTTTTTGTCAATAAATTCTTATATTTTCAATAAAGGTTGTGAATTTATTCCTTGCAGAGTTAACTGTTTTTCCCATGTTTTGAACTCCTGGTCGATGCATTGGCACTTGTGACAGTGTGGGGTCTTGTCTCTATGCTTCTGAATGATTATACACCTTGGCAACTTCGCAAGGGGATATCCTGGCAATGCTGGTAAAAAATGGTCCATAGGTTTAAAAATGGTTATGGCAGACTGCATAGAGAATGAGGATGTGCTAAGGAAAGGATGGAAGAGATGTGACAGTGTGGGGACCTGAAACACTGCCTCCAATTGATCATCCACCTTGGTTAAGGGGAGTCAACCGAAAGTCTGGGGATCGATCCCCAGATTCCCAGATAGAGCAAAGTATGACTGTCTGAGAACTTACCTAATTACATAACATAATAATAGACAATAGCATTAAACTGCAAAAAAAGCAGGTACAAAACCGTTGCAGACATTAACCTGTTATTGTCAAAGTTCTCAAAGCCGAAGATGTCCAGGAGGCCTATCGACTGGCGGACCTCTCGGTCATCCTCAGGTGGCTTGTAGATAGCATTGTTGATCTTTGTCACCACCCAGATGAAAAGTCTGCCGTATATTGCCTACAAAGACAAAAGAAAAACCCCGGCATAATTATATAATATAATATATATATTATATGATAGTCATGGTAATCTCTTTTTCTAAATATATCTATTAAAGCTCTTTCATTCAATATATTCAAAAATTAAAAAATACCAACAAAACGTTTTTTTAAACAAATCCAATCAGTATCTTGTCACAGTTTTGAACCTACGCAAAGACACCCGGGCGGTCCTAGCCCATTTTGCGCCCCGGGCGAACTACCCAACTGGTGTAGTTTGTAGTTTGTCCTATTTAATGATTCACGGTGTGGTTAATTTTACAATCGCCTGTAAAATAAAATAAATACAAACAACTTAAAAATACAAACAACCGCCACTGCAGACACATAGATTGCTTGATCTTTTTTGTCATTCATTGATCAGAGAAACGGCCAATAGGCCAGTGGACACTCAGGAGGAGCTGCAGCGATGTGCAACTCAGGTGGCAGGACAAAAGCCAGGACAACCTGAGTTACTGTATGTATTCTATAAATGCTATTTATGAAAGAGTGGCAAGAAGAAAGGCACTATTGAGAGGGATGCATCAAACAAGTAGAAGAAGAATAGAATGGGCTTATCAATCTGTGGTGCAGTTGAAATTGGATGTTTACAGATTCTCCCTTCCCCAATGAGAAAACCATTTCCTGTAGTAGGAGGTTTGTCTAAAAGATTGACTATTTTGCATTTCACTTTACAATTATGCAACTATTTTTCTCAGCCTATTGCTGAAAATCATGAAATACCCTGACATTGATGCTCCCTGCTCCAGACTCTCCGCTGGGGAAGCATACAAATATGTCTATAAGGTAGTGAACATCACCTTGACAAAGGCGTCCCTGCCATCTAGAGCTTGTTCAGAGTTCAGGGGTTTGTTCACGGTATCTCTGGCAGTCGTGACAGAGCGCTGAGTCAGACATTTCTCCAGTGCTGCCGGATCCACCTGAGAACACAAAAGCGGGCATTTAGAAAAGACCTCTGCCTACTGTTTGTATGGGCAGAGGACTTTGTTGCCTACCTCCAAAAGCTGGCTGGCCATGTTAAAATGGGACGAACTGGCGACATTGGAGCCCTCCAGGTTTTTCACTATAGTGCCTGAAATCATGCAGAAGATTTCATTCAGACACGACCCAGAAACAATTCACTTTTACTATTTAAAAAAACAAACAAAAAAACTATCTCTTACTTTCAAACTCCACATTGCCTAGGTGAAGAAGGGCGGCAAGCAGTTTGAAGATTTCCCAGGAGTCGGTCTCTGTGAACATGAGGATCTTCAGAGCTGAACGGAAGTGAGCGTACTCCTTCACATCATCGCGTCCTTCACAGCTGGTGCAGTTACCCTGTTAAAAAACAGGATTTAAAACTGAACATGTACCAGGAACTTTTCATTGCACAATTTCCATAAAGAAGGTAGATCAGATCAATACCATGGTCAGGTATTTGTACTCTGCAGCCGTTCCAAGAGAAAGAATCTTTTTCTGGTCTGGAGACATCCCCATCACCATGTAGTAAAAGATGTGGTAGTTCCTTTCCTCAGGCGCCTGTTAACGAACCAAAATGGTCTTTAGTCCTAATCAACAAACTATTATATCAGAGGAAAACCACTCTGCTAATTTCCCCACCTGGCGACAAACCCTGGACTTCTCCAGTAGGTACTGCTCCACACGGGCCCCCTCAATGGCCCCACCCTTGGTAAAGTTGACATCAATGTACTTTCCAAATCGGCTGGAATTGTCGTTGCGAATGGTTTTGGCGTTACCAAAGGCTGAAAGAAAAGAATAATCCAATCAGGAGATGACAGCGGACAGGTGTGATTTAGAGGACTTTAATGTTTGCTGCCTCTGACCTTCCAGGATGGGGTTGGCCTCCAGAATCTGCTGCTCGATCCACGAGTGCTGGCCGCTCACCGCAGCCAGGAACTGCAACATCAGCTTGGTGCTCTCTGTTTTCCCTGCTCCAGACTCTCCGCTGGGGAAGCATGCAGGGATGTTAGTCATTACCATTGACTCATTTAGTAATTAGTTATTTTTTTGGCTACTTCAAAATCACTAAAAAAAACATTAAACAAGGTGGCGAGAAGAAGTGTTTAATTTTATTTTTATTATTCACACAAAAATGACATAATTGAACGAATCTAAATATTATAAAAAAAAGATAACAGAACCAAACACATAATTATTATTCAAATGAAGTGTCTGCTTTGAAATGGAAATAAAATCCATATACATGGGACCCTGTAGAAAAAGGTGATTGCATCCTAAAGCAAATAAGCATTTGTAAAGAAAGTTTTGAGTCTTTAACAGGGCTGTGGAGGAGATGTGACCCATTCATCTTTGTACTGTCATGATCTGGCCTGTTTGCTCTCCCTTAATTAGTCATTCCTTTCACCTGTTGTTTTCCCTCCCTGCCTCAATTATAATTTATTCCTCTCACCTGTTTCCTCTTGGTTATATTCAGTTCAGCCTGAGCATTCAGTGCCAGATCATTATTTGTCTTTCTGTTAACCTGTTTGTTATTTTGATTCATGGTTCATGTCCTGGATCCTAGCAGCCAGTGGAAAGAGGGTTTTAGTGTTTGTCTCGTCTCCTGATCGTCCACTGTTCCTCCACCACGGAGTCCTCTGGGTTTTTGGCTCTATATGTGGGGAGGTTTAGTTTTTATCTCAGTAAGCCTGGCTCCAGGGAGGAGACCAGTTTAAAGTCCTGCATCAAGTTCTGGTTCCACGTCCTGTCTCGGCTACCCTCTTCCACTGAGCCTGTTCATCTGAACCTGATAGTGTCTGCTCCTGTGCGTGACCACCTGGTCCCTGTCAGACTCTGAACCCTCCTGGGAGCTTGTGGATGCCTGGAAGTCTGGATCCTGCCACCTGTTTCTGTTCCTGCCTGATCTGGATCCTGTTCCTTTCTGTTCTGGATCCCTGACCAGGATCAGCTTCCAGCATGTCCTCTGGGACTGCAGCACTTGGGGACATTCTTGGTCTGGACTGTTAAACCAGGTAAGTGGCCAACTAAGATAATCATCTTCTGTCAGATGATCGTGGTCACTGACCTGTGTTTCTCCTGCAGAGAGAGTCTGTGATTGGGCGGTGCCCCGCTCCCCATCCTGCAGTGTCCGCGAGCCACAGCTCCATTTTAGTTTTTGTTTTGTTTATTAATAAACGTTTTGAACTTTCCTACTGACTGTCTCTCCTTGAATACTGGGTCCATCTGTCCTCGGTTCATGACAAGAACTGCTTTAATTTGTCCTCATTGAGGGTCATTGAACGATAGAATTGAACTTTAAACACTCCCCTATTTAAATCTAATCCAACTTGTTAAATTGATGTAGCAGCATCTGAAATGAATTTCAGGCTACGGTCTTCTTCCAAAGTCTATTTTGTTTAGGATCAACGTCCTGCTGCTGAACTAAGCTGTGCTGCCCTTAGAGGTCACATATAGCTGGATATTCTCCTTCAGGGTGGTTCAGTAGACATAAAATGTATGCCTCCACTCACTACAGCAAGTCCTCCAGATGTTGAGGCCGCTAAACAATCCCAGGGCATCATGCTACCTTTGACACTTTGGTGAGTCTTTGCTAAGATGCTGATTTACTTTTATGCCAAACAGTTCAACCTTTGTCTCATTATTGCACTGTGTATTATCCTATAAATCAATGGACATCATAAAAATGTCTTGTGTTAAAACTCAGATGAGGCTTTTATGTCTTTTCTTTAGTGTGGAACCCCTGTCATGCAATTCATTTAGTCCGTTCTCTCTTTCCTTTTGTTGTTATACCCAGTCAAACCGGCAGTTCTTTGGATGCTGTTCTATTTGCTTTCGTTCCCTTCTGGATGAATGTGGAGTGAATTTTGTTGGATTGTTAATGCAAACAAAGACAAGGGTTTATATGTGGAAAAGAGCAATTCAGCCATAATTATTAATTATTAATTTGAAACTCTGTTGTTTTCTCCGATTTTATTTGTTTAAATCATAAAAAAAAAAATTCTAAAAAAAACATATCTTAATTTTTTAAATTGTCTTTTTTTTTATTTCGCTTTTCATTTGATTTTTAAGAATTTCTTTTTTTATTATGTTTTACTGATCACATTCTCTTTTCTGGGGGCGGGCTTTCCTCTGAGTGAGGAGCAAAGGTGCATTTCTGTTGGTTTATATTCTTACTGCTCAAGAATGAGCACTGAAGTGAAGAGAATATTATCTGAAAAGAAAATGTGAAAGATAAAAAAAAAATAGAGTTTGAAGATATGAAATATGACAAATCTGGAAAAAAAGCAAAGTTACTCTTAGAATTTCTGTTAATAAAGAAGTGTTTCAAAGTCTTATTTAAAGTCACTCAATAGATAAATGGGTAATTGCCCTGCGAGTTATGTTGCTCCACCAGCCTCTCTTAGGAAGGTTCCTCTTGTTTTGGCATCTGTGCATAATGGCTCTCACTAAGTCTCACAGTCTTAAAACGGCTTCTTCAGACTAAACGATCTACCATGATGATGATGATGATGTTCATTGCTGGAGAATCTTTAAGTGTATTTATCTTTCTTAGGCAGGTGCTATTTGGGCGTATTCCCAACTGAGATCAGGAGCTCCAGTAATCAAGCCTGGGTGTGGCTACAGAAACTAAACATTACAGTTCATTTTTGTTACAGAGTTTTGTTTTTGATGCACTAAATGCTACATTTAGTGCAAAACATTTAGTGTTTGCGAGTAATATTTACAGTTTTTTATTGTTTGAAATATTTATGAGAGAAAACATACCAGATATAAGAAATTCATTAAAGGGAGCAAACCCTTTTTACCACTACTTATTATTATTAAATTGCAAAAGGTGTCCTTCTTACTATGTAGGTTAGGTTATTAATCCGTATTTAAGAAACTTCTACTCAACATTATTGCAATAATATGTCGATTCCAGTAAAACTGCTTGTTTTGAGAATATATATCAAGACTGCAAGAAGTCTTAACAAGTGCAGTTTATTTACTGCACAGGAAGATTATTGCACTTAGTTTTGAGTAGAATCTGCTTTAAAAAAAAAGATCTTTAATCAAACATTATCTGCTATTGCTTAGTACATTAATCTGAAAACAAGGTCAAAATATTTTCTTGATTGTAAGACTTGGTTAGCTAGACACTATTTTGCAGTGAATTGTCAGAGTAAGAGGTTTTATTCAAAAAATGATTAATTTTAAGGCTTGTTACACATCTTTTAAATGTGGTGTAACCTATCAGTGGAAGTTATCTTTAATTACTTTGAGGAAAAACAATTGTGTAATAGTTCAAAATTCCACCAGCGTGAGATGTCTGAGATACGCAAAAATAGAAGCTACAGAAAAGTTTTTCTATCACGTAAATTATTTTACCAAGATGGAAATAGCTTAAAATAATAAAACATCAATGTAACCGTTCCCTGCCCACCTGATGACACAGCACTGGCTCTTCTTGTTGCGCCTCATGTTGAAAAAACAGGTGTCTGCGATGGCGAACACATGGGGGGGCAGCTCCCCCAGCCGCCTGTCTGTGTACATGTGCACTTGCTCCGTGGTGTAGATGGGCAGCAGCTGGTATGGGTTCACTGCCACCAGAATGGAGCCTGTGTACGTCTGGGAACAAAGGGAGGGAGATGTTTACTGTCAAACACAAGCAGATCTATTGAGGCTGATGGCGTGTACATGAGCATAAAGACAATTATATGAGGCAGATGACCCATGTTCGTCCTGGCCCCAGCGCTTCGGGCACATTGACCATTGAGCGTAAACATCCATGTGATTATCTGCACTCATCATTGACTGTGAGACACATAATCACATGAGTCAATGAAAGACTGCAAAGTGTCTTCCTTCAATACAACATTTCAAAGCATTTCTACTGTTCCGCAGTGGTGACTCTCTATATTATTAAGCTTGTCAAACACTTGCTTCCTGTATTTATTTGATGTTTACAACGTGTTGCATTCAAATACATTTAGATCCAGTAACCTGGAATATGAGCTGCTTTTAGTGTTCTAAAAATAGTTTTAGAGAAAAATGCAGCTATACATTAATAGTTAATCATTCTTAAAGGGCCCTATTGTAGCTGTGCCATTTAATGGTGGTCAGTGGGTAAGAGGCACATATCAAAAACCAGGAGTTTTATGCTCTAAGGCCGGGTTCTCCAACAGTGGTTCTCAAGATCTACTGTCCTGCAGGTTTTAGATGCATCCCTGCTTCAACACATTAGAATCAAATGACTGAATTACCTTTGTCAGCATGCCATCAAGTTTGGCAAAGGCTTAGTAAAAAGCCATTCATTTGATTCAGATGTCTAAAACCTGCAGGAAAGTAGACATTGAAGACCAGGGTTGGAGACCTCTGCTCTAAGGGAGGCCTGCCCAAAGTGGGCCCTGCAGGTTAAAGAGGTTTCTGCTTCAGCACAGCTGTTTTCCTCTAAAACCTCTAAAACCTTTCAGAACATTAGACCTGGAGGACCCATGCTTCTGTAAAAGTCTTGTTTTTTTTTTTATCCTAATTATAAATATTTTCTTAAATTGTATGCAGGAATCATCAAAGTGCACTATTATATTGGCCCACATTGATTAAATAATAATTATACAATTTAAATCAATGCAAAATTAGAATATTAATCCAAATTCCCATCTTGAAGATCCATCTTTATTTTGAAATTCGTAATGCAAGAGGCCAAAATCATCTATATTAATATATAAATGTTAGATGTGTAGATATACCGGTTCACATAGGTCCAAGATTGAGATTTTAACTACATGGAAGTTGTATTGCAACAGAAATACTATTCTAATGAATCAATATAACATATCATTTTCTAAGCAAATCGAAATAGCATCATATTCTTTTCCAAACAAGTCGATACAACATTGCTTCGCATTTCTAATAAATAATATAATGTATCATTTTTTAACAACCTGATATAACATTGTTTCTTTTTCCAAACATAATGATAAAACATCATATCCTCTTCCAAGCCAGCTGACCTAACATTGGTCATTTTCTAAACAAATCATTATCACATCAGTTTTCATTGTTAACATAAAAATAAAAAAAGGTTTATTATTGCTTTTCAAAGCACTTATTATTATATTGTATCATTTTTCAAGCAAATAATACAACATCATATACATTCATAAACAAATCAAAATAAAACTGCATTGTTTTCCAAGCAAATAGATTTAACATCTCATAGTTTTAAATCAAATCAATATTACTCTGTATTTCCCTCCAAGCAAATCAATAGAACATTAAGTTGTGATGAAGCTGATGATTTTACACCCTTAATATGAAAGCTTGAAAATACTTATGAGTAAATAATCTATGCAATATTTTTCAGTTAGAGATATAAGTTACTAGGAGAAATCAACTTTTAATAATATTTAGATTTATAAAGATGCACCAGTATAACCAAATATCTGTTTTTTATGGCCGTTCACACACAGCTAAACTTTGATGCAGTGACGCAGGAACACAGAGGTGTTTATGTTACGACACTAGCTTATTAGTCTCCATAGAGACAAACAGAAAAGTGATAAATCCGGGGCCAAAGTCTCACAGCAGCCAAACACAGCCCAGTAAGTCGGTTATGGACGTCGTAAAACTGGGTGCACTCACAGGAATAGAAACTTACATAGATGATGCCCTCTTTGTGGCGCACCAGCAGGTTCCTGAGCAGCCCGGCCTCGTTGAGATCCCCGAGCATTATCATGTCGTCCACACCTTTCACTGAGGTGGGGTGCATTGCACGGATATGCCCCGCGTTCTTCTTTTTGACCTTGTGCGCCTGTAAACAGTGAACACCTTTCAGAGGGGTTCTATAACCTCTCCATGCTTTTAGGTGAAGCAAACTTTGACATGTTTTATACCTTTCCTTCATCATCGATGAGCTGAAGCTGCCCAGTGTCATCAACTGTGACTTCTGCGCCAATCGGGACTCCACTGCCAGTCTCCACCCAAACAAAGTCCCCCTGGTCAGAAAAAGCAGAGTTAGTCCTCAGGTTGACCTTTCATGGTGAATTTAAGGCTTATAATGTTTATAACATAATCAGAACCTCTGAACATACCTTACTTAAATGCAGCATGGTAGAAACTTAGTTGATCTATTAAAAGATCAACAACGTTCTATGAGAACTTGAATTAGATCTACAGAGAAACAAGTAAACTTAAATGGGACAGTTCTCCGCACCAGTAATCAATGAATGAATTAATTTAAAGATAGAGACACAAGTTAAAGAAAGAAGTTATTAAATCCTGAATGTATTTGTTGCCGTTTAGAACAAGTTGACACCAGAATCATATCAGATTTAAATCTTATTTTTCTAATAACAGAAACCTTCAGTTCTTACCTGAGAACAGGTGTCTGTGTGGTCGAAGCCCTCGATCACTGCTGAGGGATCTTTTCCTTGAATGACTGTAACACAGGAACCTTCACCAACATTGTCTCACTTTATGGCTCTTTGACTTTGCTCCCACGAAGGCGTCACCAGCTGCCCCAAACTGGGTGTCTCCTTCGGTTGTTTTTTTTTTTTTTACTCTTTTAAATCCTCACACTGAAATGTTACCTTTCATTTTTAATCTCGCTGCCCTAAAATCTGCAGAAAGAGAGGATCTTCCTTAGAGAAAAAAACAGAAGTCTAAGAATTTGCAATGTGGCAATAAGTTGGACGGCACAATAGAGATAAGGGAGCTATTTACATGGTTAAACAATAAAAGCTAAATGTGGAATGACTTCCCTGTCAAGGTAACAGGAAGCGTTAGGCAGACTGCACCTTCATAAGATGGACTTATAGAAAGAGCTAGAAGGGAGAAGGCAGTTCCCTGCTAGATCTCCCTTTCTGATCTATTATCACGGTTGTTAGGGGTCAAACTCTGATGATCTTAAAGGCAATCATGTTGTAAACTGTTGATTTTAGAGACAGAATCGGGAGAAAACAACTGGAATCCTTTATCGCGAACGGTAGCTGGGACTGAATCACAAAGAAAGTCCCTTTCAGACATAAAAAAACATTAAAGGAATGACTTTTAAATTGATATGAAAAATTCATTTCTTTTCTGAATAAAAAGGTAAATGACCTCTATAGAGATAGCCTTAGATGTCAGGATCTGGCTCCTGAATACATCCCGTGATAAAACTGCTGATCCTATCTACTTTCTTTAGGTGTGGTCTGTTGATCCTGTTTCCCCAGCTGCAAAGGGTGATTTGCTTAATTGAAAACCAACAGAATAAAAAAATAAATAAATAAAAACAGGTTAATCATCTGAGACAAATCAGTATTACAACAGGGCTCCTACTGAATGGCTTTAGAGCTGTTTTCTTTATGCTTTGACTGATAGGTTTTCAATTTTATAATTCAACAAAATTGCAACAAATAAATGCAGAAAATTTAGCTGTGTGTCTTTGGGCTGATGACATGCCCAGAGGATGAAGATACATGCTGATCAGTTGTCCCAAGTCGGCCCCCAGGGGCGCTGTCCTGCAGGTTTTAGAGGATTCCCTACTTCAGCACAGCTGATTTCCATTGATGGGTGATTAACAGGCTTTTAGTGAACTGAAATCAAGAGAATCAGCTGAGCTGAAGCAGGGAAACCTTTACAACCTGCATGACAGCGGCCCTCAAGGTCTGACTTTTGGCACGCCTGATAGTCACTAGGTGAGCGACTGAAGACAGATTGTAACGCTTTTGAGTTCAATCTTCCTTTCTTATCTAAAATTGCTAAGAAAGTAGTTGCCAAACAAGTTTGCGATCACTTACACCCTAATGAACTTTTTGAAGAGTTTCAGTCTGGCTTTAGAGCTCATCAAAGCACTGAAACAGCTCTGGTGAAAGTCACTAATGATATTCTCATGGCCTCAGATAATGGACTTGTATCTGTGCTCGTCCTGATGGATCTCAGTGCTGCATTTGATACAGTTGACCATAATATTGTTTTAGAAAGACTTGAATATTTTGTTGGAATTAAAGGAACAGCACTAGACTGGTTTAAATCTGATCTATCTGATCGAATTCAGTTTGTTCATGTTAATAACAAATCTTCCTCATGCTCAGAGGTTACGTGTGGAGTGCCACAGGGATCAGTGCTAGGACCAATTCTCCTTACTATATATATACTCCCAATCGGTAGAGTTATTAGACAGCATGGGATTAATTTCCACTGTTATGCTGATGATACCCAGCTATATCTGTCTATAAATCCAGATGAAGCTAACCCATTACATAGATTACAGGCATGTCTTGAAGACATAAAAACCTGGATGACTCTTAATTTTCTGCTTCTGAATGCAGACAAAACAGAAGTTATAGTCTTTGGACCAGAGTCTCTGAAAAAGAAGCTGATTAGCCAGTCACTTCATTTGGATGGGATTAAACTGATTTCAGATAATAAAGTAAAAAATCTTGGTATTATTTTTGATCAGGACCTGTCATTTTAATCCCATATCAAAGAGGTTTCTAGAATTTCTTTCTTTAATCTGCGGGATATTACAGAAATTAGAAATCTCTGTCCAGGGGTGATGCTGAGAAACTAGTCCATGCATTTGTTACTTCAAGGCTGGACTATTGTCATTCTTTACTATCAGGAAGTCCACAAACTGTAGTTAAAAGCCTTCAGCTGATCCAAAATGCTGCAGCCAGAGTTCTAACTAAAATTAAAAAGAGAGATCATATCTCGCCTATCCTGGCTTCTCTTCATTGGCTTCCTGTTAAATCAAGAATAGAATTTAAAATCCTCCTTCTCACATATAAAGCCTTAAATGGCCAAGCTCCATCTTATATCAGAGATCTGATTGTTCCTTATGTTCCTAACAGAGCACTTCGCTCTCAATCTGCAGGTTTACTAGTGGTTCCTAGAATTTCTAAAAGTAGAATGGGAAGCAGATCTTTTAGTTATAAGTCTTCTGTCCTGTGGAACCAACTACCAGTTTTAGTCTAAAAGGCAGACACCCTGTCTACTTTTAAGGCTAGGCTTAAAACCTTCCTTTTTGATAAAGCTTATAGTTAGAGTGGCTCAGGTTATCCTGAACTATCTCTATAGTTATGCTGCTATAGGCTTAGACTGCTGGAGGACATAGGGACCCCCTTTTCATCATTCTGCTTCATTCTATCTCTATTCTCCCACTCAGCAGATGTGTTAGTTCAATCTCTAACGTTGTGCTCTCTCTGGTTTTTCTCATAGTAACTTTGCCTCGTCTGTTCCTGTTTTGGCTGTGACTCCATCCTGGAGAGACACATCAGCTGTGCTGCTGCCATCAACACCCTTGTTTTTGGATGTTGGAGTTCAGCCTGTTTTTCAGTGTAGTCCTGTTTCTCTGACTGTGACTGGGTGGATGTGCTCTCTTCATCCTCTGACATGGGAGCTGGCTCGGTGCTCGTCTGCCTGGCTGTGTGTTTCCTGGACGGGGCCGCCTTTTACAGTTGCCTTTTCTATCTCTGCTTCTGTCTCCTTGAACCCCAGTTGGCCTCAGCAGATGGCCGCTCACACTGAGCCTGGTTCTGTTGGAGGTTTCTTTCTGTTAAAAGGGAGTTTTTCCTCTCCACTGTCGCTACAAGCATGCTTAGTGTGAGGGATTGCATTTGAGTCAATGAGTCGATGCAATCAACTGGTTTTCCTTAGATAGAAAACTTTGAATCAATTGGACTAGATGATCTGGTGAACTGTAAAGTGCCTTGAGATGACATGTGTTTTGAACTGGCGCTATATAAATAAACTGAATTGAATTGAATTTGGAAATGCAAGAGACTCCAATCAAATTCTCAGTCTGACTGTAAATGATCGACTTAAAGGTGTCTCAACACTGTGAATAAATGTTAGATTGATTTATACTGTAATTGTGCCTGCATGTATGTGAGGGAATGAAAAAGAGGTTTGGAAACCAAAAATAACTTTTGAGAGATTTGGATTTGAAATCTAGTTTAGTGTTTGGTTTAGTTTACTTACATAATATTAACATACATATTTGTAATGCTCCATTACACAAAGCCAACAAAAATAGATATGTGAATAGTGATAGATAGAAGTAAATAAATTATAAAATACAACCTTTCCTATAGTCCTGTACTCAAATGTAGAAATATCAACTTCCTTTTAAATTTGCACTCAGAAAAAGACATTTAGATTTTTTTATTGATTAGATGTGCTTAATTTTTGCTAATGAGCCTCCGCTTGTTACTTTCTTATTCTTATTGCCATATCTCTCGTATTTCCTACAATTTATTTATTCGTACTACTTTTTAAACGTATTAATAATTTGATATTGTCTTCGCCCTTCGATGAATAATTGGTCGGTATGAGTTCGATATCCAGCGTTAATAACGACCCTTTTTGAAAGCTGACCTCTGGGTTGGATTTTGAAATTATTGTTTCAGACCTCCACCATTACTTTAAATATGTAGTGACTTTTTGATCCAATACTTTGCTTTTATGAATCCTTAAGCTTTGTGACATTTCATTTTACACATTTTATTTATTACTACTCAAAGTAGTTTATTTTCTTTTAACCTTCCAGTGTTATCGCCCTGTATTTCAAATTTTACTCTGTTCTGTCAACCAAAAAACTTTTTTTGTTTATGTTTTGAATAACCAACTATGTTAATTGACAAATTTTTATTTCTTTGAAATAATATAAACATATAAATGAATTAAACTTAAATTGTTTTTGCTATAATTGCTTGTTTGGGAAATTTAAAATCTTGTTTGTTTAAAGAATAATGTGTTATTTATTGTTAATGTAGTGGTTCACATTTTTAGCCTTAGTTGTAGAGATTTTATTATTTATTTTTTTTATTAAGGCGGGCCACTTCTATGTTGCGTTTGGGTCCATTTGGTAACTGTTAGTGTCAGCTATACTAGCAGTAAGCATTGGCTTGAGTTTGAGGGAGGGGCTTAGTTACATGTTATATATCTATATATCTATATATCTATATATATATATATATATATATCTATATATATATATATCTATATATATATATATAGATATATATATATATATATCTATATATATATATATATGTGTGTGTGTGAGTGCATATACATATATAGACACCAAATGAACTAGTGAAAGTGGTCCTGCTTAGAACCTAACAAAACCGTTTAGTTGGCTTTAATGGGTCCTGTGTTTTATTTAGCTTATTTTATTGATGCGGGACTAGGTGGGTGTTGGGGCGAGTGTTCTGCAGTGGTTTAGATCCTACCTGTTAGAGAGGTCTTTCTCTGTCAAGCTGGGGGATTCCATGTTATTGTCTGCCCCCCTTTATTGTGGAGTCCCTCAGGGTTCTGTCCTCTGACCTTTATTCTTTACACTATACCTCCTCCCTTTCAAAGAGACTTTTACTTAAAATTGTATAGAGTACCAATTATATGTAGATGATTATCAAATTTATTTGCCAATTGCTAAAAAAAAAGCCACTGCCACTTGGGAACTTTCACAGATTTTGTACATTCCAAAATAACCAGCTTTGGTTTCTCCAT